TCTCCAAATAAGGGCTGGGTATGGTCCCTGCCTGGGACCCTACAGAGCCACTTTTAGTACATATAGATAATGCAGAACCAGGTGAGCTAATGGTCTGTGTCCTGTATATGGCAGCTTCCTTGTTCATTTTGTAGCTCAGCACTGCAGGTGCCTTGGTGTTAGACCTTTCTGACTCCCTCTTTTCTCTGCTTTTCTTTTCTGCTGTGCTTAGAAAAATACAAAGTGCCCAGGCTGCAGGTTGACATCCTCTTAGAAAAAGAATAGACGTGTTTTGAGAGTGTAAACATGTTTTGAGAAAGAACCTGATAGCAGCGTTCAAGGTCAAAATCTGTGAGGCATCTCCCCCAAACAATCCTGAGAGTTCTTGAAGAAGCAGCAACTGGCATCTGCTCCCTCCTTTCCCCAAGGACATGAGAAATATAAATACGAAAGGTTCCACTCCTTTTCATTGCACAGCTCCTAGTATGTGAGGTGTTTTATTAACTATTTTCTTCTTCTTTATTGCTACACTTAGCATCGTAGCTAAGCTTGTGAGCTCAGAACCCGGAAATCCCCATTTCAAATCACTGGGCATGTTGGCGCATCATGCTCAGCCAAACTATGGCGTATCATGAATGCACAGGCTCCTGAGGAGGCAACTGCACCCGTTTGCTCCTTCCTAGGCTTTTTAGGTCAGTGTGGCACAGCCAATAAACTAAGCTTTGGCTTAGCATGTTGTCCAAACCCGAAAGCATGGGTAAGGGTTCTCTTCCATAACCGTGATGACCTGTAGCCAAGGTTTGTCCTATGGTAGAGGTTTTGAAAACAGTTTAGAAGTGGTGTGTGTCTGTGTGTACCATCTCCCTTGTGGGGAGAGGTGGTTCAGAGTTTGGCTGCAGTTCTCTCTCTTAAAAATGATGGAGGTGCCCACTAGAAATTCACCCAAACATTTCAGTTGTTTCTTGGATTTTTATTTTTTAAAAACATTCAGAAAACGTTAACACAGTAAACATACTTTGCTAAAAGATTTGGTAAGAAACAAACCCAGAATACGCTGCAATGTAGGAATGCGTATTGATTGCATGTGAATATTCTGCTCAAAAGCAAGCTTAAACATTAGCTTGGCCCCTAAATGACTCTCTCCCCAACACTCTTTCTTCCCCGGATGTGTTTCCATGACTCCACGTTCTTATGGTTGGAACCTTAGATTTTGATCAGACAAGCCCTTTTGAAATTTGACATTGATCCCACGGATCGCAATGCTTGTTTCCCTTTTAGATCCCAAAACACAGAGCAGTAAGGCTGAATAGGATCCAAATGCCAACCTTTTTTTATTTGTTTTATGAGGTAGCAACTTGTGTTTACTGCTGTGTCTCTAAGGACTTTCCCTTCCAGGATCTGGCTCAGCTCAGAACCTGCTTACCTTCACAGGTAATAGTGATAACATTGGGCCTCTTCAGACCATTTAAGCCCAACCTCAAACATGGGACCCATTGAAGTGCTTTACTGTGTACCACCCCGACCCACTTTTTTTTTTTAAAGAAAACTACAGCAGTGGGAACACTGTGATTCCCGTCAGATCAACTCATGACCCAGTTACGGGTCACTTGGACACCAGAGATCTAGGCCAGCTCGCAGCACAGAGCCAGAACCCTGCACCCCCAGATGTTCCAGACAGATTGTCATGTGCGATTGCAGCCTGTGATTTCGTTTATCTGATGCACAGCCTGCCTGAGGCAGGGAGGAAACTGGTGCGTGGCGTGTTTTGCCAGACATTATGATGGGAAAAGGGCTCTGGCCTGGTTGAAGTGAGTGGCGACCAAACCTTGTGGGAGGAAAAGGAAGCTCCCGGTTCCTCTCTTCCCCACCCTTCTGTTACTTCCAGTCAATAAGGTGACCGACTGTGGAGGGCAGGTCTCCTATATCTGCGCTATACATTTGAAGCAGCTGTATATATACCACTTTATCTGCGTATCTGAAGGAGCTTTATCAGTATACCTGAAGGAGCATCTCCACCCCCATTGTTCAGCCCGGACACTGAGGTCCAGCGCCGAGGGCCTTCTGGCAGTTCCCTCAGTGCAAGAAGTGAGGTTACAGGGAACCAGGCAGAGGGCCTTCTTGGTAGTGGCGCCCGCCCTGTGGAACACCCTCCCTTCAGATGTGAAGGAAATAAGCAGCTATCCTATCTATAAAAGACATCTGAAGGCAGCCCTGTTTAGGGAAGTTTTTAATGTTTGGTGCATTACTGTATTTTAATATTGTGTTGGAAGCCACCCGGAGTGGTTGGGGAAGCCCAGCCAGATGGGTGGGGTATAAATAATAAATTATTATTATTATTATTATTATTATTATTATTATTATTATTATTATTACTTTAAGCAGTCATTGCTCCCCCCAAAGGATCCTGGGAACAGTAGTGTGTTAAGGGCACCAAGGGATGTTAGGAGACCCCTGTTTCCCACCCACCCACAGAATTTCATTTCCCAAAGTTCCCTGGGAAAAGGGACAACTAGTTAAACCACTCTAAGAACTGCAGCTTGGTGGGGGGAACAGGAATCCCCCAACAATTCTCCTCAGTGCCCTTAAGAAACTACAGTTGGTTTGATAAAGCTTCAGATGCAGAGGGTACCAGAGAAAATAAAACTCTGGCAGGTTACAGGCTGCTCTGCACAAGTGATGAAAAGCTGCATTTTGCTGAAATCTCCGATGTATCAGAGTCCTCTCTTCCTGTTACACCTGGTCACCTGCTCTTTCCAAGTTCCTTAGTTTGATCTGGGGGAGGACAAAACATGGGTGTGGTTCCAAACTGGCAATTTGGGCCAGTTTCTTTTCCCGTCCTACTTCCAGTGAAGTTTGAGGTGTCCAAATGCCACACCCAATGGCTGGCATCTTCGATGGCTGCGGTGGCCATTCATGTGGCTGGCTAGGTGTGGCAGGTAAGTGGCTCAGGTGTTGCCATTTCCTGGAATTTCTCTGAAGTGTGGCAAGAGGCAGCATGCGAAGAGCTATAATCTCCCCACTACTTCGTGACATATCAAAATAAAGATGGCTGGGTGGCAGACTGCAGGCTTGCCCTAACCCCTTCTGGCCCCACAACATTTTAATCATGGCGTGGCAGTAAATTTCGTGAGGAAAATGAAGCAATGAAGTTTCCGTGTGCTTTATATTTCATATAAATATGTTTTTGCATTGCTGTTTGGTGCGTGTCCTAGAACGAACGTGGGCCTCTGCTAATCTGGCCCTTGATTTTTTGAAAAATAAAATTGTTCAGCGTATTCCTTACGAAGCACCTGAAAGTGATTTCACAATACAACAAAACCTTTATGCAGAACAATTACACATATAAAAGCAATTAAAAAGCATTACATATGTAAAAACAGTTATAACCTAAAGCCTGTCCAGGGACGTAGATGTTTTTGTGTTTTTATCTTTTTATTGCTAATTTCAATTGTTTTTAAGAGTGTTTGCTGATAATTTTAATGTTGCTAGCAAACTGCTTAGACGTTTTATTACAGTCAAGTGCTGTATACATTTTGTTAATTAAACTAATTCACTGAAACAATAAATCTGTCTGTCTGTCTATGTCTGTCTGCCTATCTGCCTAGCTATCTAGCTATCTGTTAACTTTTAGGGAAAGAGCCACAGCTCAGTGGTAGAGCAACCCCGCCAGATGGGTGGGCATGAATAATAAAATTATTATTATTATTATTATTATTTGCATGCAGAAGGTCCTAGGTTCAGGTGGTGGCATCTCAGGTATGGCCTGGAGAGAACCCTGCCAGAAACCCCACAGAACTGCTGCTAGTAAGTATAGGTATTATTGATCTAGTTGGGCTAATACAATCATAGGATTGTAGTGTTGGAAGGGACCACAAGGGACATCTAGTCCCACCCCGTGCAACTGCACCAGTGGTCTGACTTAATATGAGGCAGCTTCCAACGTTAGGAAATTCTCCAGATCCTCAGCTGATTCCTAATTCTGTGAGCCTCATATCTTTGGAATGTGTGGTGCGCCATTGATGTGACTCACCTGCTACATCATTCTAGATTCAGGTAGGTAGCCGTGTTGGTCTGATGCAGTCGAAATAAATTTAAAAAGTAAAAAGTTGTCCAGTAGCAACTTTTGTTGTTGTTGTTGTTTAGTCGTGTCCAACTCTTCGTGACCCCATGGACCAGAGCACACCAGCCATTCCTGTCTTCCACTGCCTCCCGCAGTTTGGTCAAACTCGTGCTGGTAGCTTCGAGAACACTGTCCAACCATCTCGTCCTCTGTCATCCCCTTTTCCTTGTGCCCTCCATCTTTCCCAACATCAGGGTCTTTTCCAGGGAGTCTTCTCTTCTCATGAGGTGGCCAAAGTATTGGAGTCTCAGCTTCAGGATCTGTCCTTCCAGTGAGCACTCAGGGCTGATTTCCTTAAGAATGGATAGGTTTGATCTTCTTGCAGTCCATGGGACTCTCAAGAGTCTCCTCCAGCACCATTCTTTGGCGATCAGCCTTTATGATCCAGCTCTCACTTCCATACATCACTACTGGGAAAACCATAGCTTTTACTATACGGACCTTTGTCGGCAAGGTGATGTCTCTGCTTTTTAAGATGCTGTCTAGGTTTGTCATTGCTTTTCTCCCAAGAAGCAGGCGTCTTTTAATTTCGTGACTGCTGTCACCATCTGCAGTGATCATGGAGCCCAAGAAAGTAAAATCTCTCCCGCCCTCCATTTCTTCCCCTTCTATTTGCCAGGAGGTGATGGGCCGAGTGGCCATGATCTTAGTTTATTTGATGTTGAGTAGCAACTTAGAGACCAACTAAGTTTGTTCTGGGTATATGCTATCGTGAAGTGTGCATGCACACGAAAGCTTATACCCAGAACAAACTTAGTCTCTACTGGACAATTTTTTTATTTATTTTGACTGCTACATCACGTTCAGCTTTGTCATATATATATAGACTTGCTATCCATGAGGTGGCTCAGATTGTTCCGGTTTGAGACCCCGTGTGGTTCCCAGAAATATGTCTATTGCTGCTTGAATAGCTAAGTCAGTAAAGCATGAGACTCTTAAACTCAGGGTCGTCGTTCGAACTCCACATTGGGCAAATGCTTCCTGCATTGCAGCGGGTTTGACTGGAGGACCCTCGTGGGCCCTTTCAACTCTGAAGTTCTATGATCTATGTATTATTGGAGCATTCAAGACAAGGCACTTTGCCAAGAAACCACCACCTTGCCTCAGTTTGCCCTCTCGCCTTTCTGCCTGAATCTGTCCATATTATGGGTGACCTTGTCTAGTTCTTTTCCTTGGCTGGCTCTAGTCAAGCAGGGTACAGATTCTTTACCCTTAGTGAGTAAAGCATAGGCGTACGAAAGGAAACCAGCTGAGATATTTATCTTTTTGGCCAATTACGTTGCTGACTGATGTGTCTGCAGTAATAGCCCATCATGGCTGTGTGGTTTTCCGAAGAAGGATTGCTGTCTCGGGGGTTAGGAGGGTGGAAAGATCGCCACTAGTACTATTGATCCCCACTTGTAAATGCTCACTTAGGGGGCACAATGTATTGCAGTAAAGCAGAGGTATGGAAACATTATTTGAAAGGAAGTGGCTGTTGCCCGGGGGGGGGGGGCGGGTTGGAACTGATCCATGCGTGTGGCCATTAAGGCACAATATATACTTCCCTCTTCCTTGCCTCCCTGCCAGCCCTGTAGGCCAGAGAACCTTCTGTTTTCATTAAGGTATTGACAATCAATGTGCATGTTTGCTGGGATAAATTAATGAGCCCAGAAAGAGCAACAGGGGGCAGAGGCAGGAAACGGGGCTAGACCATTGGGATTTCCGAGCAACTGGCAAAGGCCATCCTGGATATAAAAAAATGTTTCGAAGAGTTAAATAAAGAGAAACGTGCATTACTTGTTTGTTTTAAATTTCCCAATTCCAAAGATCTCACTGCCTCTCTCTCGTTGTACATACCTTCCAATATTTCTCCAATGAAAATAGCAATATCCTATTCCATATTAATAATATTATTAATAATAATTTTATTCTTTATAACCCACCCATCTGACAGGTTTGCCCCAGCCACTCTGAGCAGCTAACAAAATGAATTTCAATAGGGACAAATGTAAGGTTCTGCAACTGGGCAGGAAGAACCAGATGCACAAATATACGGTGGGGGACGCCTGGCTTAGTAGCAGTACATGTGAAAAGGATCTAGGGGTTTTCTTTGATTGCAAGCTTAACATGAGTCCGCAGTGTGATGCAGCAGCAAACAAAGCTAATGCCATTCTAGGCTGCCGTTCAAATACAAAAACCAAGTTCTGCACAAAGCACAAGTGTCAGCCAATCTCCAGGAAAGGGGGAGTTCAAGCCTTGAGGGGCTGTTGCCAAGAATGCCCTTGAAGACCTGTGTGATGGCCTTAAATTAGTGGCAGAGCATCTTCTTTGCATGCAGAAGGTCCCAGGTACAATCTCCAGTGTCTCCTGGTGGGGCAGGCAGAGACACCTGCCCGAAATCCTGGAGAACTGCAGTCAGACAATACTGAGGTGGACAAGCCAGTTCTCTGACTCAGGAAGCTGCCCTGTACCATGTTCCTTCCTAGGATACCGATTATATTGTCAAGAACGTAGGGTGAACAGCTTGTGGTTCTGGGGCAACACCTGTCTTACCAAGGCTCCCAGGTCCAAGCAGCCACATACCAACAGCAAGAGGGAGATGCTCCCAGAGAGCCGGTTGGTCTGGTCTGACAGCTTTGGTCTGAGACACTTTTATGTGCAACTCAACCAACTCTTGCTGATGCTGCTTATAGATTTGTGTCTCTTGCCCAGACTCTTGTTTGTACATCAGTTGAAATGCACCCAGATTTGAAATGGACTACTGCCTACCGCTTACATCAGTTAAACCTGATAGTTCTTGAGAGTTCAGCTGCCCCAAAGGTGTCCGTGTTCCCTTGCTTATATAATTTAGTATTTGTTACTTTTGCCTCAAATCTTTCCCCTTCTCTCTTTCTCTGACCGCCACCTCTTCCGCTGCCATTTCCCAGTTTCCTCTTGGTTTTGGTATGTTCTAGCTAAAAAACGTCAGAATAATGACTCCTTACGGATTGCGAGAGAAAATCAATCAAGAGCCTCTGGGCCATTGATGCAATTATGGTCTCATACCTGTCCGAGGCAATTAAATAATGGAACGGAAACTGAGTAATGTCAAATATCTGGTTCCTTCCCGCGGTACATGATTACAAAGGATCAAATTAATTTAAGCCGTGGGCCTGCTAAGTTAGAGTGCTGCGTTTAGGTGAAGACTGGCTGGGAAATTTGGGAGAGTGAAGGTCCTGAATCATTTAGCACAGGAGCAATCTGAGAGGCAGTAAATAATATAGTTTGGTTTTAAAAACGCAGTCATGGGGAACTTGTCCAGAAGAAGAAACCATCCCTCGAGACCTGTTATATTTAAACAGGAAGTGTAATATTGGCAGAAAGTATCTGATACCAAAATTCATAGAATCATAGAGTTGGAAGAGACCACAAGGGCCATCGAGTCCAACCCCCTGCCAAGCAGGAAACACTATCAGAGCACTCCTGACATATGGTTGTCAAGCCTCTGCTTAAAGACCTCCAAAGAAGGAGACTCCACCACACTCCTTGGCAAGAAATTCCACTGTCAAACAGCTCTTACTGTCAGGAAGTTCTTCCTAATGTTTAGGTGGAATCTTCTTTCTTGCAGTTTGGATCCATTGCTCCGTGTCCGCTTCTCTGGAGCAGCAGAAAACAACCTTTCTCCCTCCTCTATGTGACATCCTTTTATATATTTGAACATGGCTATCATATCACCCCTTAACCTCCTCTTCTCCAGGCTAAACATGCCCAGCTCCCTTAGCCGTTCCTCATTAGGCATCGTTTCCAGGCCTTTGACCATTTTGGTTGCCCAATTCCTACCTGAAGTGTTTATTCAGTGCTGGCCCAGGCATAAAAAGAGAACCCCTATTTATTAATTCCAGGATAGGTTGGTTGATAAGAATATATTTGCTGGTTCGGAGCACCAGGACAGTGACCTGTCAAGAACGACATGAGCAGAGCTTTAACCTCTTGTTGGTAACCAATCTATGGTATTCAAATGTGTTTTGCCCCTCAGAGTGGAAGCTCAATAGAGCTCTCAGGGTAAACAGCTTTCGGGAAGCCTATTCTTTTACATACAATATGATATATATGCAATTTAATAGCTGTCACAAAGAGGGTGGAGCAAATTTCTTTTCTATAGGACCAGAGGGTAGTATCCAAACCAGTGGGTCCAAATTACAAAAAAAGGGGGAGGGAGATTTCAACTAAACATGAGTCAGCAGTGTGATGCAGCAGCAAAGATGGCTAACGCTATTCTCGGCTGCATCAACAGATGTATATAGTGCAGATCTAGGGAAGTAATGGTCCCACTCTATTCTGCTTTGGTCTGACCACATCTGGAATAGTGTGTCCAATTCTGGGCACCTCAGAAGGATGTTCACAAGCTGGATCATGTGCAGAGGACGGCAACCAAGATGATCAAGGGTCTGGAAACCATGCTTTATGAGGAACCTTGAAATAACAGTTTGCTCTTTTTCTTAAAAAAAGGCTGAACAAATAACCTCTCAGAGGTATTGTTCCAACCAAATAGTATGATTTTTATCCGGAGAATACCTGCCATGTTTCTTCAGCTGACCTTAATTTTCCTTGAACCCATCTGACTGAGAACAGAAAGGTTCTTTTGCGAACCTTTTCCTTAACCCAGCAATATCCTTTTGGAGGTGACCAGAAGTGCGTAAGGTATTTCAAATGCATGCACAAGCTTTTCTCATTCTTGTGTTACCGTGCGGGGGGAAGGGGGTGGGAAAGAGTTCAAGTGCTGAATTGCTCAGAGCTGTCAAAGATACAGGAGTCCTGCCAGGAAGGGAAAAGCAAACAAACAAACCATGACAACCATAATCTTGTACTCTGACTTCTGCTGTTTGCTCCAGGCCTCTCTGTATGGGTGGGACTTGGAGTGCTTACGCTGGCAATCGTGGGATGAAGCTCATATAGATTTAGCGAAAGGAGGGAGAGCCATTCGGATCGTTGCTACAAGTTACGGGGGAAACTTCTCCTGAGGAGCAGTGGAATTCCTCCCTGCGGCTCCTCTTTCTTCAGAAAGAACTGCCTACAGTTCCCCCAAGCATTTTTTTGCGAACGTGTGTTGGGGGGTAGCAGCCAATTTCAGCAAAAATCGAGGCCGAAGGATAAACCACGCGTTTCAGGGTAGACAGGCACAACTGTCTCCTTAACTGAAAAGCAACAGAATCGTAGAATTGCAAAGTTGGAAGGGACCGCAAAGGTCATTTAGTCCAGCCCCCTGCAGGGCACGAATCTTTCGCAAAATGTGGGGCTCAAACCCACAACCCTGAGATTAAGAGTCATATTCTCTAGTGACTGAGCTATCTGCTTTGGGAGGCTGCAGATTTGGGTGAAGGAGCATTGTCAGAGGAAGGGGTGCTTAATTACCGTACTTTTCTGTGTATAAGACTAGTTGTTTTTTTTTACTTTAAAATAAGGTTAAAAATCTGGGGGCGTCTTATACATGGATAGTGCATATGGCCATTTTTAAAATTTGGGGTCCCCAAAAGTAGGGGGCGTCTTATACATGGGGGTGTCTTATACACGGAAAAATACGGTATTTCCCTGTGTTCCATTTTCCCCTGCTTGAATCACTTCTCAGCACTAACTTAACACATGTGGTGGGGATTGGGAGAAGGTTCAAGAATAAATTATATATATATATAAAATTTATTTTGTATTTTATCCCCACCCCAACACAAGTGGGAAAGCAGTTTGTTGTTATTGTTATAATTATTTATTAAATGTATATCCAAAGATTAAAAGGGCAGTTTAGAGAGTGGTTTGAGATCAGGATTTTGCTTGGGGAAAATTTAAATTTATATACCGCCCTGTAACCACAGGTCTCAGGGAGTTTCACAGGATAAAATCACAAAACGTGTAACCAAAATAAAGACAAGAACAACCCAATAACCACCCCCCAAATAATATTAATCAGAGAGGGGAAATAGAATTTGAAACACACAATATTTGTAACAAAACATATAAAAATAAGCACCCATATAAGTCAAGGAGTAGATTAAAAGATCAATTTAACTTTCAAATCAAAACGTTTTAGCCATTGGTTTCTCCCCCCCTACCCGCCATTTTAACCATTCATAGAAGCTCTTTGATCCAGCGGAGGCTTATATGAAGGGGCGCTGGGAGGCAATTTTCTGTTACTCCCTCTTCCTTCTGCAGCCCTTGCCCCCATCCCCAAATCTGATCCAAGTATTGGGGAAACCTTTGGGATAGCATTTGGTGGGAGCGGGGGGGGGGGAGTTAAGCACCTCCTCCCCTGCTGCTTCTCTAGCCAAATTGCAGCCTCATCCACTACTTTCCATTACAAAGAAAAGAAAATTAGTGGAAGTCTCTGACATGTTGGCATATATAGGGGCTGAGAGATAAAAAGGGAAGCTTCTGGGTTCTGATCTTGTCTCTCTGCCACAAATTGGCTCAGTGGTCTTAATCCTGACTGGTCTTGCAGTGTGTATTCCCTCTATTTCCAATGCTCATTTGTGAGTGGTTTTGCTTATGCAGCTGAACCATCGCCACCCAAATACATATTAGGGCATTGACAGATTTGGGGGAACTCTTAAAGGTTGTAGAAGTAAAAAAAAATATTCCTAGGGGAAACATTGCGGGGACCCCCTAAAATAGCCCAACGGTGACTGAGCACGCTCAGTGGCCTCTGAAAGCTGGCAGACTGTTGGTGCACATGGAAATGGGTGGGGAAATGGAATGGAGTTTCCGGGTGGTGGGCGTGGCTGATTAGAACAGCGAACAAGAACCCTGCCCGCTGCAACATTTTGTTGCAGGCCCCACGTGCTAAGCATGACACGTTTCCTGCAAAGCCTTGGGCTGTGAGATTCTCAGAAAGACAAACTCTCCCCGTGTGTGTTTTAAGTCTCACGTCCCAATTCATTAAACGAGAGTGCTCGTTAGGGTGGGCGTTTGTGGGTGGGCGTGTAAGTAAAATGAGCCGTTGCCGTTCTTGGCTTTTGCTTCAACCGTGCAGTGGCTTTCACGAGCAAGCAACTCTCCTGTTTCTATGGAGAGGGACGTGTTCACGCAGCCTTTAATTTGGGAGATGGAGCTAACCTTCTCCTATGCTTCACAACTCAGTAAGCAGCGCGAAGACAGATTCTCGGAGACAATGCTACTTTTTCTGCCAGCAGATATCTATTTGTGGAAATGGGTCAGCTTCCTCTTGGTGGACACGTTAGCGCTCCAGTGCCTGGGAGCGCTTGCTTTACAATTTTTCTGTCCGCGACGCAGGCAGCAGAGCTCCTCTGCATAACTACTCGTGGCAGCCCAGTGTTTCATGAATTGAAGCGAGTTAACCACAAGGAGAGGATGACATTTCGAGACAGCGCAGGATGAATTCCAAGTCCCGGGCGCACGCACACGAGCTGGATTGCTGTAAAACAAAAGGGGTTGTTGTTGTTTTTAGCAGCAAATGCAAGCACAGAAACCATATAAAGGGAGGCATGTTTAAAACAGCCACGACCATAGGTTTATTCCATTACCTGCACATACCTTGGGTGTTAACGAAATCCCACCTGAACTGATGCTGGGCTTCGGGGTGATGGTGGCTAGCTGCCCTCATCTTCACTGTGGGACAGCCTTTGTTATTGTTATCACGTCCCTTCTACGCAAGCATTTGAGGGTGATGTGCGTTAAAAATGGCGGAAATCGGTTAACCACAAAGAAAAAGCCCACAGAGGATATTTATTTATTTTTAAATACAGTCATACCTTGGGATAAATACACTTCAGGATAAGTATTTTCGGGTTGTGCTCCGTGGCGACCCGGAAGTAACGGAGCACGTTACTTTCGGGTTTCTCCGCTTGCGCATGTGCAGACGGTCAAAATGACATCATGTGCATGCGCGGAAGTGGTGAAACGCGACCCGTGCACGCGCAGTCGTGTCTTACGTTCTGTTCAGTATGCGAACAGGGCTCCGGAACGGATCCTGTTCGTATTCCGAGGTACCACTGTAATGAAATAGGCACCAATGGCAGAGGCCCAATCCAGCTGCAAAAGCCTTTGAGAATGAAAATGCCTTCACTTGTTTCTGGAAAATGCAGAGAGTATCTCAACAGCGGTGCTATCCACCAGGAAAGGGGCAGCCCCACTGAAAGCCCTGCTGAATTACTAGGGCAGAGGCAGACCCACCACACTAAATTACAGTGGTACCTCTGGATGCGAACGGGATCCGTTCTGAAGCCCCGTTCGCATCCTGAGTAGAACATAACACACGACTGTGCGTCTGCGCGTGCACGGGTTGCGATTTGCCGCCTCCACGCATGTGCGTGACATCAGTTTGAGCGTCCGCGCATGCGTGAGCGACGAAACCCGGAAGTAACATGTTCCGTTACTTCCGGGTCGCCGCAGAGCGTAACCTGAAAACGCTCAACCTGAACCATATTTAACCCGAGGTATGACTGCACTGTTTATGCACCATTTGCATTTCTACCTCCTTTTCTGTGGAATTCAGAGAGCCTTCATCACACTATGTTCCCAGTATGCTAGGGAGAAAACTATGTGGCTTGTATTTGGCACGAGAGGGCATGCAGAGGTGGGGATGTGCGCTGCCCTGGTCATCTCTTTGTTCTGGGGATCTAACTGATGTGACTGCCACTATCTGGGGGTTATCTAAAAACTCGAGGGCAGCCTTAGTGGTGGTTGAAACAGGTGGGTTTTGAGTACCTGAGGCAGGTTAAGCAGCTATGCCACCTGCTTCAAGAGTTTAGAGCCTGCCCCCCCCCATTGTGCTCCGTTCTTGTATTTGTAAATAGAAAGCTTGGTACATAGACACCTTCAGTGCTCTCTGACCCAGAGGAAATTATTCTGGCAGTGCCCTGGAACTTGTCTCTGCTCAGGAAAGTTGAGTGTCAAATGCATGACAATAGAATGGTATATTATCAAAATGGCGCCGCAGTTGAGAGCTGCATTAGAAAATGGCAACCCAAGCTCTGTCGACATAGAGCTTTTCTACGAAGGCTGCATCGTTTACAGTAAAGGCAGGCATAGTGCTGAAAATTGGTCATGTAGCCCACAGCGGCTTGGTTCACATGTTGCGGCCAAACATTTATACCCCATTTTGGGCTTATGAACTGGGAACTAAATTGGGAAGTGAATGCCCATACACAGACATTCTGATTCCCCATCTCACTTCCTGATTTGATCAAATCACAGTTTGCTGTTATATCTAGACTGGGCAAACCGCATGGTTCATGTAGCACGGTCAGTTATTAACAGCCAGAAAAAGAGAGAAAACATCACCAAAAAAAGAGTAAGTAAAGATGTTACACATTTGCATAAACTTTGTATGTGCTGATGTTTGTGTGTAGATGCATATTAAATATATTTTAACTGGCCTTGGACCAGACAGCCCTTCAAAAATAGAGGACTGTCCTCTGTCCGGTGGGACACCTCAGGTTTCTGCAAAGCATTGTTTTCCTTGGTTGGATGTAAGGGCAACCATGGTTTGAGCAACCTAGGAAATGAGGAAAAGAATTGAATTATAGTACGTGAGGGGAGAAGATAACGGAAGCCCGAGGCTTGGAAACAGACAGACAAACCCAGAAATAGTTTGCCTCTCCGGGAGATATATAGGGAGGTAGCTTTTAAGATGATGGATGCTTGACAGTATGTCCCTTCCCTCTACAGCCACTCTGACTATGTGATTTCTGCCAAGTTCTCAGTTTTATATTAGCTGCTGTTGGCCTAATTTTGTTGTGACAGCTCCAAACTACAGAGCAGGCTTTTCCTGTGCCAGGGGCTCCTAAATTTAAGCAGGCAAAAAGCTGTTTTGGACACCCAAGGAGATTTGTGAGCAAGGCACATGGCAGGACTGCAGTAGGGCTAGAGTGACTCTAAGCTTTGGTGGCTCAACTTTGGTTGCCCTGAGATCCACAATCTGAAACCTGATGCAGATGAATTGAAGAACTCTATTTTATTACTTTTATATTATTCGATTCCGTTTACGAATTGCTTCTCGTAAAATATCTCAAGAGTGATTTCCCAGTAAAACCCTTGCTGCGCTTCAAAAAAACTGAGATTGTAGATTGGAAATGGATCAGAAAAGGGGGGCAAAGATGATCTACGGGTTTAGAGAGACTCCCCTCTGAGGGAAAGGTTGCAGTGGTTGAGGGTTCTTAGTTTCAAGAAAAAGCGACTTAGAGGCGACATTGTAGAAGTTTATAAAGCAGATGGAGGAAAGGTTTTCTCCCTCGTAATGTTCGTACTCGTGGACATTCAACGAATGTCGGAAGATTCAGGACAGCTTTTTAAAAAGTATTTCTTCACACTGTGCATCATTAAACTATGGAACACTCTCGCACATGAGGCAGTGATCGCCACCATCTTGGATGGCTGTAGAAGAGGGGAAATTCGTGGAGGATAAGGCTATACAGTGGTACCTCAGGTTACAGACGCTTCAGGTTACAGACTCCACTAACCCAGAAATAGTACCTCTGGTTAAGAACTTTGCTTCAGGATGAGAACAGAAATCGTGCGGCGGCAGCGGGAGGCCCCATTAGCTAAAGTGGTACCTCAGGTTAAGAACAGACCTCCAAAACGAATTAAGTTCTTAACCAGAGGTACCGCTGTAAACCTGTTTCTTCAGGGGACATACAATTCCATCCAAAGCAAGCAACTGACCAGGAATCTGAGTGCAAGAACTGAACAGAGCTCAGAGTCCTTCCACAACACCTCAACTTTCCCCCCTTCCTTCATTTAATCCATGTAATTTAGGGATGTCCTTTTTTGCAGCTATTGTTAAAAACCATTGGGAGACAGAAAACCTTACCGGTCTATTATAAGTCGCCCAGAGATCTATCAAGAGACCCAGATCTAACTTCTCCCCACCCCGGCTTGTTGGCTTAATTTGTGCTTCTAGATGTTTGCAGACTTAACATTCACTCAAACTGATCATTTATAATCATATATTGTTCTTATTAATTGGTAGAGACTGTCATGGCAACGACATGAGGACGCTGGAGCGCTCTTAAGATATGTTGACATCAATGCATCTTACTGAAAAGCCTACAACCTTTGACTTTTCTATCTCTGGCAGATGGTATATCACTTTTGTCTGTTTTCCTAAGCGCAGTTAACATAGAAGCAGTTCCACCGAAATCAATCAGTGATGCTTCCGGACTCGTCTTAAATTACTATCTCAGCCTGTGACAAGTGATGGTTTTCAGCTCTAGATAAGCAGAACAACTTGGAAGTACCAAATGGATTTAAACACCGCTCATGAGTGGATTTTGGAATTGGAAACAAATTCCGCAATCTGTTTTGGGCATGCAGCAAAAAAGTAGACCACATCATGTGATCAGTCTCAGGAGATGACAGGCACCTGCTTTGCATGCTTGCAATTCCGGGTTGAGGAGCTAATATCTGGGGTTGTACATGGACCCTTTTTTGTCTGATACAACACAAGTCTGGCTTATTACAGACTAATTACCTCATAAAAAAGCTTAACTAGAAACCTGCCTCTCTCCTGAGTGTTTTTGCTGTCTACTTTTTCAAAATGTGTCGGAAGTCACAACTAGGGGTTGCATGTCACGGGCACTAAAATAATTAAAATTCTATACGGAGCAAAGCCAGATTCTATGCCCTCAATAATGGAGGGCTGTATAGACGATGCCAATTAAATTGGCATATCTGTGTGCCTATTTTACATATCTTTCAACCTTGTGTCAGTTGCGGGTTGTGGAGTGGGGTGGGAAGGAACTACAGAACCTTTCCTTGGTTTCAAAGATTGATAGTGGTGCAGTTAATTAATTTTAGACTCTGAATTTAATGTTCGTGTTGTGAGGGTGGAGGAGTTGCTTTGGATTCTGTAGCCCCATCTTTAAATGGTAATGTGCATTACTTCACTTAAAAATGTAACAAGCTGTCCCTGTTGCATTTGGGGACCGTCCTGTATTTTTCTGCTGAGTGGGGTTCTGGAACATTTTCTTGGCAGTTAGTTCTTGCCTGTTGATACTGGTTTTATTCACTTCGTTAGGCCCCTTGGACATTTCTGTGGGGAGGCATTCCCCTAGTGAGGATAAGCATGCTCCATGGGTACCGACTGCTGGGAGTCTGTTGGCAGTGATGATGGAATGACGAATCTGTAAGCTGGCAGACTGGAACCCATATTGTCCTTGCTGCAGCGGGAGCGGGTGGCGCTGTGGTCTAAACCACTGAGCCTCTTGGGCTTGCTGATCAGTAGGTCAGAGGTTCGAATCCCCGCAACGGGGTGAGCTTCTGTTGCTCTGTCCCAGGTCCTGCCAACCTAGCAGGTTGAAAGCACACCAGTGCAAGTAGATAAATAGGTACCATTGTGGTGGGAATGTAAATGGCATTTCTGTGTGCTCTGGCCTCCGTCACGGTGTCCTGTTGCGCCAGAAGCTGTTTAGTCATGCTGGCCACATGACCCGGAAAGCTGTCTGTGGACAAACGCCAGCTCCCTCGGCCTGAAGTGAGAGGAGCGCCACACCCCATAGTTGCCTTTGACTGGACTTAACTGCCCAGGGGTCTTTTACCATATCTGTGCATGCTGCAACTTTTTGTTGCAGGCGCCACGTGTTCACGTTCTTACAACTGCGATTGATGTGAATTATTTACCTCATAAAGACATCTTATTCTCCTAATCTACCCTTCAACCTGAGGGATCCTGAGGCAGGATACAAAATAAATATAAGAATACATACAATCCTGTAAAACACAATAAGAGCTCATTTGGGACAATAGGAGCAGCTAAAACCACTGAGCCAGGGTATCAGTCACCATTTAGCCCTAAGTCCTCGACAATGCCTAAGTAAATAGGTAGGTATTTACTCGGTGCCAGTATCACAAGAGCTTTGAGCACATGCTGCAAATAATGTTTATGTTATTGTGTGAAGACATCATGGGATTGGTGGAAAGAGCCAAGTCAGAGAGAAAAATAATTTCTTACTATTGCTGTCCCTCTTTTTCCTGGACAATCAAATATGTCACGATGGAAGCACTCCTTTTCAGCAACAAGAATAATAGAATCATAGAACTGTAGAGTTGGAAGGGACCCGAGGGTCATCCAGCCCAACCCCACTGCAATGCAGGAATCTCAGCTAAAGCATCCATGACAGATGACCACCTAACCTCTGCTTAAAACCCCCCAAGGAAGGAGAGCCCACCACCTCCCGAGGGAGTCCATTCCACTGTCGAACAGCTCTTACTGTCAGAAAGTTCTTCCTGATGTTTCGTTGGAATCTTCTTTCTTGTAACTTGAAGGGCTGAGGCTTAGTGGAAGGGCATCTGCTCAGGTTCAGTCCTCAGTGTCATCATATTGGAGGCCCTCTGTCTGCAGCTCTGGAGAGGTGCTGACAGCCAGTGTAGACAGTACTGACCTAGATGGAACCAGTGGACTCGGGAGCACAATATCACAAAATCACAGCTCCATCAGGCGAAATGCCCACGGTTCTGCTCTTTGCGGCTAGGGATGTTATCTGGCACATGAAAACCTAGGTTCAAAATTATGCCCCACTGGGGAAGCTTGAACCAGGAAAAAGTACGGCATTACAGTGGACGCTCGGGTTGCGAACGTGATCTGTGCAGGATGCATGTCCGCAACCCGCAGCGGTGCGTCTACGCATGCACAGGTTGCGATTCGGCGTTTCTGCTACCTGATCCCCAGCTGAGCCAAGGTGAAGGACTTAATGCTGGCCTAGCCCCAGCTCAGCTGGTAAAACCCAAGATCTGCTGAATGCAAACTCTCCTCCTGGGGGAACTTGGGTTTGGATTGCACTGTCCTATTATAAGTTTTGTAGGTACCAGAGCCCAGTGACCCTTTGTCCTTCAGCAGCACCCTCCAAAGCATAAAGGGTAGGAGTAAGCATAGCAGGTTGTATTTCCTGGGCTTTGCAATATATTGATCAGAAGGGAGAACAAACTTATCTGCTCACTTCATTTATCCAGTTTTTCCAGGGGAGAGCACCATCAGCAGCTGGCTAAGCAAATTTTTTGCTGCGCTCATCATCAAATACAGACTTGATGTCTCTCCCAGGTTGTTATGGTCTCTTCACCTACTGGGTCACCAAGACCCAGGGATGCCTTCTCGATCCCTTATTGGCCAGGCCTCCACATGCACACAACTTCTATCTATGTCAGGGTTACACAGAGCCAAACATTCCCACTGCTAATAATCTGTTATGACTCGAAATCTCGGCATTCACTGAATTCAATAGTCTTTTTGGTCTGCTGGGGACGGATCACTGTGGCATGCAGTAGGAACCCTTGCCTATGTCCCTTTGGGGGGGATAAATGGGGGTTAGTCTGATGCCCCACTACCATATTTACTTGAGTCTAATGCGCCATCAAATCTAATGTGTGCCTCAAATTTTCAGAACCTTGAAACCAAAAAAATATTTGCTGGCGAATGTAAGTGTGCCATCAAATCTAATGCGCACCTTAATTTTTGCAATGTAATTTGGCCAAAAGAAGCTGAGGATTAGATTCAAGTAAATACTGTATTTTTCTGCAGAGTTTTGGAGACCTGCAATGTCACGCCCTTCCAGTTTGTAGCTTTGAATGTCTACCCATAAACCCTGAAGCTTATTCATAGTGATTTAACCCAGTTTCAAAAGCTCTGTGTGGCTTCTCAGAAGCACTTCTTGACACCCGGGGCTCCTGAGGCTGTGAGGTTCTCATTCCTTTTCTCCCTTGCTTTTACAATGTGAAGAAGAGAGAGGTAGGATTTATTTATTTATTTTTTTAAAAAGTAAAAGGTTGCAAATCACTAAAAATAAACATATGTGCTCAAAACTAGGTAATTCTTACGGCATTTGGTGTTGCTGAATCTCAGCATTTCTATGGAAACCACTTGTATGGAAAAAAAGATTTGCTGTCAGTGGCGTTCTTATCTGATAGAGCTCAAGCCAGGTTTAAAGAGGTTTGCCTTTATCCTTAACGTGTTGCTGGCAATCCTTGCAAAGGCGGCACGTTGCAAATGTATAAGGCTTGTCACTCTTCTGGATGTGTTATCAAGCATTCATCAGGAGAATCCTGCATCTGCCTTGGGGCTTGATTTCCGCCCCCTTCGAAAACACCCTCATTTCCCTAATAGGCATTCCTGAGAGCCACTCCCGTTTTGCAGGTTAAAGACTTGACCTCTGTTTTGGCAAAATGGGTGGGTGGAGGGGTAAGGATGGCAGCAGCAAAATAAGCAAAGAGAATGCCAGGTGAACCTGGTATGGATTTTTATCTTGTATTCAGGTGGGTAGCCGTATTGGTCTGACGCAGTCGAAATATATTAAAAAAATTGTCCAGTAGCACCTTAGAGACCAACTAAGTTTGTTCTTGGTATAAGCTTTTGTGTGCGTGCACACATCTTCAGATACCTAGTAGTACAGTCATACCTTGAGTTAAATATGCTTCGGGATGAATATTTTCGGGTTTTGCCACTCGCGCATGCGCATTGCCTCAAAATGATGTCACGCACATGCGCGGAAGCGGCGAATCGCGACCTGCGCATGCGCAGACGTGGGTTGCGTTTGCTTCAGGATGCGAATGGGGCTCCGGAACGGATCCCGTTCGCATCCACAGGTACCACTGTACCTTAGAGACCAACTAGGGTTGTTCTTGGTATAAGCTTTCATGAAGAAGTGTGCATGCACATGAAAGCTTATACCAAGAACAAACTTAGTTGGTCTCTAAGGTGCTACTGGAAAATTTTTAATTTTATTTTGTAGTCAAAGTTGCATCAGTCCCTGAGGTGCATTTTACCAGAACGCAATGGTCACCTTTTTTCCTCCCTTTGGCACCTGTTTGGGGTTCACTCTACCACAGACCTACAACCTTTCCCCAAGGAGTACAGCAATGAGCATGCACATGTGACTCTCTCGGACCATTCTGTGATTAGTTACAGTCCGTATTGTGCTGTGTGGAGAGAGAGCTGGTGCAAACCTCTGGAATTATGAGCATGATGGCTACACTTTGCCTCCACAGCTGGAGGCAGCGATGCCTTCTGAAAAACCGTTGCTGGAAACCAGAGGAGGGGAAAGGGCTTGGTGCTTTAGTCTTGCTTGCTGGTTCCCCACAGGCCGGGCATCTGGTTGGCCAGTGTGAGAAGAGGATGCCTGATCAGATGGTTCTTTGGCCTGATCCTGCAGGCTTTTCTTACGTTCTTAACAACATCGTGCCAAACCTTTGATACATGCTTATCAGAAGCATGGGTGAAGGTGCAACTGCCCGTTGTTTGGCAGGGTGCCAGTAGGCTTTGCACTGGTCTCCAGTATCCTTTTTTTCTGTGTTGGACAATTTGTATCTTGCCTTCCAGTATATTTTGTTCCTTTAGCATTGTTATCTCAAGACACTGGCAGAAAATGTAGCTTCGTTAGAACCAAGCCCAGGAAAACGAAAGGGGGTTTCAAGGCAATCACGCTTGCTAAGACGTTGAAGCAGCCTTTGCCCACATTCTGCTTTTTTAGAGCAGGTGAGGGAGATATGATAGATGGTGTAGAACGTTATGGAAAGTGTGGAGGAAGCGGCTAGAGAAAAGCCTTTCTCCCTTTCTCTTATAATGCTAGAACTCACGGACACCTAACCAAGTTAATGCTGGGAGATTCAGGACAAACGAAAGGAAATACAATGCAGTTTAAATGCAATTTAAATACAATTTTAAGTAAACGTAATTTAAACTATGGAATTCGCACCCATGAGAAGTTATGCTGGCCACCAGCTAGGATAGCTTCATAAGAGGATTATACAAATTCATGACGGATAAGGCCACTGATAAATGGCTGCTAGCCACGATAGCTTATGTTCTGCCTCCCACTGTCGGAGAAAACAGGCTTCTGAACGCCAGTTGCTGGGAGTCAAAAATGGGAAGAGTGCAGTTCCACTCAGGTCCTGCTTTCAGGCTTCCCAGAGGCTTCAGACTAGATGGGCCTTTTTGTCTGACCCAGTGGCGCTTTTGTTGCCATCCATCTGTCATGAGAGACAATGGAGTTCACCTCTGGGGGGTGAAGTCAAACGGCTGCGTATCCAGCACTGAAGTGACATCCCCAAGGAGCAAACCTGGGCAGTGTGCACTGCCAGATTTATGTATAAGCTAAACAAGCTATAGCTTAGGGCCCCACACTCTTGGGGCCCCCCCAAAAAAATTAAAGGAAAAAAACACCTGGATGTACATTTCCTAAATATAAGATAAAAAACAAATAAAATAAAACCTACATACAGCAACAGTGTTTTGTGTTGTGTAGGCTCCTATGATGGAAGTAATGGGCCCTGCCTGCTAGTCTGCTCCCTAAAATATCACTGGTTTGCTCATTTCTATATACAGTGGTACCTTGGGATGCGAACGGGATCCGTTCCAGAGCCCTGTTCGCATCCTGAACAGAACATAAGACACGACAGTGCGTCTGCGTGTGCGCGGGTCGCATTTCACCGCTTCCGCGCACGTGTGTGACGTCATTTTGACCGTCTGCGCAAGCAGCGAAACTCTGTTACTTCTGGGTCGCTGCGGAGCGCAACCCGAAAGCGCTCAACCTGAAGCGTATTTATCCCGAGGTATGACTATATTGGGTGCCTATATATAGCCTGGTTGCATGGTCCATATATTCATCACAAAAAACAGCAACAATTTGTTGTTGATGAAGGAGAGCTGGACATATAAAGGGCCTCATTACCTTCAGTAGATTAGGGCCTCAGCAAGCCTACATCCAGCCCTGGCAGTGTGCATGGAGGTGCTGGGCTGCCCAGACAACAGAACCCCCCCTCTCAGCCTTTCTGATGCGGTTCAAAGGAAAAGCAGAGCAATACGTTTGGCACCAACTTGGCTGCAGGAGTTGCCGGAAGGAGGCATAACAAGGCACCATTTGACCATCTTAGAGACCCCACTCCAGATTTTAGGGTTTACTCCTGAGCCTTTTCTTCTTCCAAATACATCCTGCAAGGCAGTGGAGGTTTAGGATCAGAGTATTCCTTTTCCTAGATGGAACCTTCCCAGGTTCACGAGCCCCATCTGCCCCTCACCTCCCTCTACATCAGGTGCAGAAACCACCATTGGCCATTGGATCCATTATTGGTCTCCATCTGCGGAATCTGCCAGAGCCTGTCTTCACATTCCCTATCCCACCAAGGGCTTAGAGACCCTTCGGCTACCCTCGCCTGTTTTGACCTGCCAGTCAAAGCCGTTCCCAAGGTGTGGCCGCTGTCACGTACTGACAGCTTCTAGGAGCCGCGGGTGAGAGCTGAGTGCAAGGTGGGGACCAAAGGCGGACAAACTACCCCAGAAGGAGCATGATGTGTCCCCACACCCAGTGCAGTGGCAGAAGTAGCAGTAGTGGGGAAGTTGACTTTTGGAATGTTTGTCCACTGTGATGACCTCCTTATGAAATAACCTCTGAGAAGAGGAAAAACCATGGTTCCTAAGAACACAATTCAGAATTCTTTTGCCCCTGTAGATGCTGTGATCCAAAGTGTATGAAGAGAGGGGAAGGAAACAGAAACTCTTTCCCCTGCAGAAATGCAGGTTTTACCTAACTGAGCAATTTTCCGTGCCCTGTCTCTCACAACTGCAATAACATTGATGGGGGGGTCATGTTCTCCCAAGGGCTTTTGTTTTCGCCATCCTCTTAACTACCTGTTCTGACTCTTTAAAACATGGGGATTTGGTTTTTAAAGCTCAAGGCTTTCATTCCTCTTTGATGTCAGGAAACATGATAATGCATGCCTTGTTTGTTTGGATATTCCCGCCTGGAATCCATGAGCATTCCACAACTCCCTGGAAATACTGCAATTTGCAGACCTGCGGGCAGTCTTGGTAAATCTGCATATGAATGCAGCTGTACCTAGTTCAGAACCATCTTTTTTTTGTGAAACCAAAATCTGCTTTTATAAAGATTTTACACATAATAGTTGGCAGTCTGGCCTGCTGAGAACACACTTACATTTTCTTTTATCCACTGTTGTGCTGAAATATGGAACAGCAGCATGGTGTGTGTGTGTGTAGCATAATTTTTCTGTAGCTGATTTAAGAACAAAATTAATCTGTACATCACTGGCCTTCTGCAGTACCGTATTTTTCTGTCTGTAAGATGCCCCCATGTATGACACCCCCTATTTTTGGGGACTCCAATTTAAGAAAATTGGGGGAGATCTATTCGTGTATAAGACTCCCCCAAATTTTGGACATTTTTTTAAAGGAAAGAAACCTAGTCTTATACACGGAAAAATACAGTATGTACTCACAATTGAACATGGTTTTTGGCCATGGTTCCTAAATAAAACTGGTTCATTGTATCTTATTAATTCATTCATTTATTTAATTTATATACCACCTTTATTTTTCAAGGATCTTGTAGGTGTTTTCATAATACATTATGTTTTGTTAGCTTTCTTAATATAAGGCGCTTGTGGGAGAATTTACTTTCAATTGACAATGAGGATAAGAATGCTGATGTTCTGTGTTTCTGAGTCTCTGCAGGCGGCAGTGTGTGTCCTTATTCTAGGCTTACTCACCCCTCCCTGACTGCTGGTCCCCCGTCTAGCATTTAACAATAATTTAGTGCAAACAGCATGCTTGGTGCAAGGCTCTTTCCCATAGCTGTTCACGTCTACATTGGGTAGACAAGAATGCACAAAGTAGGTTACATGGTATCTTCCTTTGGACAAACTTTTGGTTGTTGTAGGAATATTTCAGGAGTATTGAAGATTCCTGTGAAACTGTCAGCCTTTCTCCGGCCTAAAGTTGGTTCAATAGAAAATGCAGTTTTCCTGCAGTGTATATATTTTGTTCTTTGGGAATAGAACATAACTTATTTTTTGTTGGCATCTATCTGTATGTCTCTAGAGACAACGGAGTACACCTCCAGGGGTGAAGTCAAACTGCTGGAGAACCACAATGCCTGCTGTGGCTGCAGAGACTGGTAACTTGTACCTGCTTCTTCCCACATTGTTTTTGCTGTGTTAGTCACTCAGAAGCGACTTTTCCTGGGCTGCCCAGACGACAAGACCCCCCTCTCAATGTCACTGCTGTGATCCAAAGGAAAGCAGAGCAATACAGAAGACGCTCAGGTTGCGAACGTGATCCATGCGGGAAGCACGTTCGCAACCCTCAGCGCTGCGTTTGCACATGCACGGGTTGCGATTCGGCTCTTATGCACATGCGCAACATGCGATTTAGCACTTCTGTGCATGCACAAGAGCCGAAACCCAGAAGTAACCCATTCCGGTACTTCCAGGTTCGGCGCAGTGCGCAACCCGAAGCATCTGTAACATGAGGTATGACTCTGGCACCAGCTTGGCTGCAGGAGTTTCCGGAAGGAGGTGTAAAAGGCACCATCCAACTGTTTTAGGGACACTGGATTTGTGTAGGGTTTACTCCTCAGCCTTTTCTTCTCCCAGTGATTTCCCTCGAGGTAGTGGGTATGGATTTTTCTGAGATGCCTCGCAGAAAGCCACACCATTGCTTCGTCTAGCTCCGCTTTCTCTACTGAGCATGACCAGCAAGCCAACAACAAGCCATGGGTCAGGATTGGCTAGTGATCATGACTGTGCAGCAAACTATGATTCCTGGTTTAGAATTAACCCGAAGCCAAGACTGAGCATTGTTTATCCTTCTTGCTCTGGGTAGAAGTAGAGCAACAGCAGTCTGGTTTATCATGGCTTGGCATAAACATGCAGCATGTTCACGCACGCATGCAAGGAAGTGCGGCTTATCATTATGCATGAATGTGGCCATAAGGAACCAAATGGGAGAAGGCAGGATTGGCAGAAGGAGGGATGGAGGGGGAATGCCGCTTAATATAGTAACCGGTGCAGAATGGTTAACTGTGAGTTGAAGCCTGAACTCTTCTTGGATCAAGTTGTCGTTCCCACTGTATATTGTTTTATTTCACTGGAGGGGAACTAGGGCAGCGTGTACTCTGTGCTATGAAAACAAATTAAAGTTGCAACCCTAGGCTTACTCAGTCGGGCGCAAGCACCATTGAATACGTTGTGCTTTGCTTTTGAGTAAAGGCACCGTGGCTCACACTGCACACTTTCTGCGCAAAAGCCACACAGGTTCTGTGCCCAGGAAAGCAGAATTCTGCAACTCACCTAAAATCAGCAAGCGGAACAATGTTAAACATTTCCCTTCTCCTCCTTTGCATAATTCTAGTTTTGCTAGTAGTGGAGAAGCCCAGGGAATTATTCCTGGCACTGCTGTCACCATGCATAGAACCTGTACATAAGAAAAGAAAATGAAATGAAAGCTTTGTTTCTCAGGCAGCTGAATTATTCTCCCTGTATTCCCCCCACTTTTTTTTCTCTTCACCCCGAACATCCTTAAACTGCTAACATCAGGCAACTCTTTTCTTGCCTAACCCAATTGCCACTTCATCGTTCTGTTGATGATTCTGCAATGTTATTAACCCCTCCTGTGTTAGAAGCAATCAGAGTCAAGCTTCTTTCCCTTTGAAAAAACAGCCTTTTGAGCCTGTCACTGCCTTTCAAAGTAGTTTGCTATGTTAGGGGGAGGGTAGATCTGTCAGAGCTCTGGCAACTTATTAAGGGGAGTGGGGGGAAAGGTGGTGATGAGTCCACAGTAACTCTTCCTAAGCAATTATTGTGAAAGATTGTCAGTGTGAGTAACATGGTATGTTAAAAGCCTTAATTTTAATTTAGAATGCAAACCTTAATGACTTTCCCTGTTCCCAAAATTCCTTTCTTCCTGCTTTTTAAGTTGCCAAAGCAGAGAGGGAAGGAAGCTTTAGTAATACAGATTTTTTCATTGAAAAATCACTTACAACAAATGATAAGATTATTACGGGCGTTATCACCCTTTGAAAAGTGACATTTGTGTCTGCTCCACCAGCCGCCTCATTGAAGACTCATTGTCTTTCTCTCCTCAGCTGGTTGTTAGAAAGGAGTAATTACAACTCTGAAGATTCTATCTTTTCCCATATTTCACATTTTCAGTATCTAAAACCAAAAAGGATGGGGAAAAGGGGCTTCCTGAATGCATGAGTGTTTCTTTCTTTAAATTCTTCAGGCTATATGTGCAAAAAAACCCCAAAACCCTACCTGGAGGTGGGGAAGATTTAATATGCCATAATTGAATTCAGTCATTTACTAATTTGCAGCTGAAAGAGTTGTTGAATCTCTCTGTTTGCCATTAGCAAGGTGCTGTTCCAGCCCTCAGAAAAAGAAATGTTATTTCAAGGGCTGTGGGCTGTTGGATGGACTCTTGAGTCCTAGTTTTATCCTGCTTTGGGTTGGGAAGGTTCCATTTTGTTGGGCATTGGTTCAAAACGAAAGCTTCTCCTTTCAAGCTTTTGTATGACTAGAGGCTGAACTCCCTGCTCACTTATCTCGACCACCATCTTATCCCAGCCACTCTGTGTTTTGGCTGCCAACCTCCCAATGCATCTTCCAGCAACAACCCCACCTGCGATGCTGGACTAGAACAAGTATAGCATAGAGAGAAATAGCCTCTGAAATGGGACATTTTGTCTAGGTAAAAGACTCCCACTGTGACGTCTTCACTATATGTTTAAAGCTGTGTCATGGCACTTTAAATAGTCATGGCTTCTCCCAGAGAATTCTGGGAAGTGTACCGTATTTTTCCCTCTATAACACGCAGATTTTTTCTCCTAAAAAGTAAGGGGAAATGTCTGCGCGTGTTATTGAGCGAATGTGTGGTCCCTGGAGCCGACAGGCGCGAGTGAAGGCAAAAATCAGACAAATATCAATCCTCCGGAGAAGGGAAGCCTTGAAAAGAGGAAGCTGCTGCTTTCCTGCATTCTGCCTCAGGGTCTTACTGCCCACCCGCTTCTGTTAGTTACTGTGTTTGCTCAAACGGAACAAAGAGCAGAGAAAACCCCTCCCCTCCAGGCAAGCAGAGGGGAAAGCAGAGCGTCCTTCCTTCTAATTCCTCTCCGTGTTCCGGTGCTGCAACATGCAGGTGGGGGGGGGGGGAGAGAGAGCTGGCTGGCTTGAGTGGGTGCTTGGGGGGAACTTTTGCCTTCCTTTCCTCCCTCCGGTAAAACCCCTCTCCTGCATTCTTAGCCAGCTGCTTCTCCGCACACCCCTCTCGGTGCTCCTTGTCCCTTCTATGTTTTTCCTTCCCTCCCCACTTAAAACGTGGTTACAAAGCACGGATCCACATGGATCCTCAGGATCTTTGCATTGGGTCACCCCAAATTAACCATCAGATCACATAGCAATGATCTGATGCAAAAACAGGGCTGCAGTGGTGCAAAAACGTGGTTACAAAGCACGGATCCACATGGATCCTCAGGATCTTTGCATTGGGTCACCCCAAATTAACCATCAGATCACATAGCAATGATCTGATGCAAAAACAGGGCTGCAATGGCGCAAAAACGTGGTTACAAAGCACAGATCCACATGGATTCTCAGGATCTTTGCATAGGGTCACCCCAAATACACCATCAGATCACATAGCATGTCCATGGCTACAGCTTGCACCAAAAAAATCACGCACCCACTGTTGCCTGGGGCTGCAATGGTGCGAAAACGTGGTTACAAAGCACAGAGCCACATGGATCCTCAGGATCTTTGCATTGGGCTACCCCAAACTCACCGTCAAATCATATGTCTGTGGCCACAGCATGAAGCACAAAAATGATACATCCACTGTTTCATTCAGAATTTTTTTTTCTTGTTTTCCTCCTCTAAAAACTATGTGCGTGTTATGGTCAGGTGCGTGTTATCGAGCGAAAAATACGGTAGTTTGTTAAGCATGCTGAGAGTTGTTAGGAGACCCCCATTCCATTCACAGAGCTACTATTTGCAGAGTGGCCAATCCCTCTTTCCTGGGAATTGTACCTCTCTGAGGGGATCAGGGGTCTCCTAATAACTCTCGGCACTCTTATCAAACCACACTTCCCCGGAGTCTGGAGGAAGTCATGACTATTTATAAAGTGTTGCAATACTTCTTTAAATGTACAGTGTAGATGGGTCCATACTAGGGCATGTAATTGTGAACAGGACTATTAACTGCATGTCCTTGTGGATAGCTCAGTCGGTAGAGCATAAGGCTCTTCATCTCAAGGTCGTGGGTTTGAGCCCCACGCTGGGCAAAAAATTCCTGCATTGCAGGGGGTTGGACTAGATGACCCCCCAGGGTCCCTTCCAGTTCTACAATTCTATGATTCTACACGGCATTTTACATTCTTCAGGGTTCTGGGCAGATGATATCTCCAGCCCTACTTGGGGATTAAACCCGAGGTGTTTTGCTTGCAAAGCATGTGCTCCGTTGTTGAGCTATGACCCGTCTCCAACCGCCAGATTCAAAACAGGATTATTATAATCTACCTCATAGGCCTCTCACCTTAAGGTTTCATGCTCTACAGCCAGAGGTTGCTATCACCATGGCTCATTTGTTTACGCTCAGTCTTTGGTCTGCTGTGCAGATTCAGTTTGGCAGCTACTCCTTCCTTTTGCTCACCTTCTTAAGGTGGGCAAGGAAGAAGAGCAGCAGGGCTTGGGAGCACCAGAGAAACTTACCCTTGATCATATACTTTATATCAGTGGTAGGCAACCCAAGGCCTGGGGGCCTGATGTGGCCCAATCACCTTATCAATCCGGCCCGTCCATCAGCGTGTTTTTACATGAGTAGAATATGTCCTTTTATTTTAAATGCATCTCTGGGTTATTTGTGGGGCCTGCCTGGTGTTTTTACATGAGTAGAATGTGTGCTTTTATTTAAAATGTATCTCTGGGTTATTTGTGGGGCATAGGAATTTGTTCATTCCCCCCCCCATATATCCGGCCCACCGCATGGTCTGAGGGATGGTGGACCGGCCCATGGCTGAAAAAGGTTGCTGACCCCTGCTTTTATATCCTGGGTGGAAAACTGGATCCAACCCACAAGCCAGGTCCTCTATCCTCCACTTCCCTGGTGGGACCACTTTTAACAGCTGGACGGGGCCTCCCATCTGTCAGTCACCAGACATCACCACAATATCACACAAATCTTTATCTGATGATGTGTTTAGCTCGAGCTGGGCAGCAAAGGAAGGATCCTCGGGGCAAACACATGTTCATTGGACTCTTTGCCCCAGAAAATGTTGTTTCCCTGGTGGTCTGTCGTCTTAAAATGGCAGCGTCAGGTGGGTAAAGAATTCCAGGTCAGCCATGAGTGACACTGGAGGAAATCTCTAGCTTCAAGGAGCCTGTGGAAAGTGATTTCTACGGAATAAATACAGGAGATTGGGTTGCTGGAAAAAGTAGCTTCTTTTTAAAAGGAGGGGGCAGAAGCTTATTAGATGTTAGATCTCCTACTTCTTTTCACTATGTGATTGTATGAGCTTTAATTAGTCTAAGAAAATATGTGCTGTGTCAGGCGTGTAAGGGCTGCGTTGTGTGATGAGCAGCAAATGAGGTGGTCTATTTTTTGCTCTTCTCTTTCTCAAGGGATTCCAAGCATATGTTCTATATTTTATTTATGGGTTTGTTAAATGTTGGATAAAGAAAACGAAATGGCATGAAAGTAAGTGTCTAGAAGCTGTGTGATAGGGTTTTCCTCATTCCACCATTGTGGCTTTTGTTTTTTGGGGGGGAGCAGCATGTACTGTTCCAAAACTTGGAACGTGGTGTTGTTGTTGTTAAAAAAGCTATTTGCTCATGTCTGCAAATAATACATTTATTTGGTAAGCATGCAAGGGAATTTACCAAGGCAAATATATTCTGTGCACTTTTAAAATTTATCCTGTATTCATAGGATCATGGAATTGTAGAGTTGGAAGGGGTCACAAGGGGTCATCTAGTCCAACCCCCTGCAATGCAGGATTATTTTTGCCCAGCGTGGGGCTCAAAGCCACGACCTTGAGGTTAAGAGTCTCACGCTCTACCGACTTCCTCGTGGATCTAGAAATCGGCACGCTCTGAGTTCACTACAGACAGCAGAGAGCCTATTATTTTTCATATGGCCCACAGTGTGTAATGAAAGATTGAGATAATGCAAGAAAACAGTTATTTATCTGGGATTAGCCTACATAAAACAGTTACTTCAAGCAGAAAGTAGGGCAGAATCATAACCTCTTCAAAATGAGATTGAATTGTAGCCTGATTTTTGAGAAATCCCAGATCGGTGGGAATCGTTTAAATGGGTTAAGGATTAGCTTAATGGAACGGCTCTGCTGAGTGGGGCTAAAATTTGCATTGGCGCCACCTGAGGCCCTCTCAGTCGTTGTTGGTGAACTCCAATTCCCCTAAGCCACAACCAGTATAGCCAGTGCCCAGGGATCATGGGAGTTGTAGTCTAACAACATCTAGAGCAGCCTTTCTCAACCTTGGGTCCCCAGATGTTGTTGAACTACAACTCCCATCATCCCTAGCTAGCAAGGCCAGAGCTCGGGGATGATGGGAGTTGTAGTCCAACAACATCTGGGGACTCAAGGTTGAGAAACACTGATCTAGAGGGTATCAGATTGGGGAAGCCTGACCTAGCCCTTGTACAGTGCAATATGGGTACACTCATCACAATGCGTCATGTGTGTAACTATATTGTTACAAAGGTACGGCATCACCCCAAGCTCTGCTGAGCGGTAGCCAAGTTTCAGGGGGTTCTAGGTGCTTATCCCACGATCATGCTTTTTAGGGAATTCAAGCACACCAGAGACTGTAGTGTTTTAAGATACTGTATACAGTTTATTCTGCACCTATGTTGCACCTGGGTCTAGGTGGCAGAAGAGAATTCGCAGCATTACATATTGTAAAAGGTAAAGGGACCCCTGACCATTAGGTCCAGTCATGACCGACTCTGGGGTTGCAGCGCTCATCTCGCTTTATTGGCCGAGGGAGCCGGCATACAGCTTCTGGGTCATGTGGCCAGGATGACTAATCCTCTTCTGGCGAACCAGAGCAGCACATGGAAACGCCGTTTACCTTTCTGCCGGAGCGGTACCTATTTATCTACTTGCAGTTTGATGTGCTTTCGAACTGCTAGGTTGGCAGGAGCAGGGACTGAACAACAGGAGCTCACCCCGTCGCGGGGATTTGAACCTCCGACCTTCTGATCGGCAAGTTCTAGGCTCTGTGGTTTAACCCACAGCGCCACCCGTGTCCCATTACATATTGATGGGTATGCTATTCCCCACAGCAGGGCGGCATTGGAGTCAAATCTGGGTTCAGACATACTGCTAAACTAAACTGTCATATCCTGGTGACAGGAACAGGACCTGGGAAGGAGAAAAATGGCTACTATTTTGTTGTGAATACTTGCACGCTCGTTCCTTCAGCTTGTCTTACAACTCTGTTTCTTCTTTACTTCTTCCCAAGATAAGTGCGCTCTCTCTCTCTCTCTGTGAAATCTCTGCTTGCTTGTGAGACAAAAGAAATATTTCCAGTGACTTATTGTGGCAGCAGTTTATCCCTGGTAAATAGATTGTGATGCATATGGCTTTTCTGTGGATGAGAAACTTTATCCCTGGCTGCTCCATCACTGCATATTATCATACGGATGGTTCATAGAATGGAATTTCATGACTGCCTTGACCTAATTTAAAGGCCTAGATTAAAACAAAATTTGCCGTCTTCATCTTCTTAATTCAGCATCACAAAGGAAGGATGCTAGGCTCATCCTTCCTCTGTCTCACCCCACCCCTTTATAACAGACACTGTCTCTCTCAAACACACACAGCAATATGCGGTGCTCTTTCGGACATCTATTTAAACATGTTACTTAGCCAGAATTGGCCATTATTTATCAGCGAAAATCAGACCACTTTATGTCTGTTTTTATGTGTTTACTAAATTTATTAGATACCAAATAGCTGCTGCTCGCTGGGTATATTACCAAGAAAAATAGATAGATAGATGATAGATAGATAGATAGATAGATAGACAGACAGATAGATGGCTTTTGTTCAGGGGGTCTTTTCTTCTTTGGTGATCACTCGTAGCCGAGTAAGGTTGTCTTCCATAAACACGGTTTTAACAGTGAGTCCATAAGTGACTGTGGAGGCCAATTCTGGATCCACATGTCCTTCCACAGTGGGGACATTGGTTTCCGGGCGGGAGTTGATCACGGTGTGGATTTGCCAAGCGTGCCTTCCTCTTAGCACGTTTCTCCCTTGCATCCTGAGTGAGTGTCTTTTAAACTCTTGCAGGATTATATATCTCTTTGGGAAAGCCTACAGACACCTGTAAACCTCTGGAAACCCTTGAAAAGCCCTGTAAAAAACCCAGCAGCACTCACAAGAAGCCAAACTCCACCACAATTGCTCCTTCCAAACAGTGGTGTAGCTTGTGTGCCCCAGTCTATGCCTCTGCCTCCAAACCTCCTTGCTCAAACTTTTCGCAGGCATCAATGGTCAGTGCAAGGGCTCCCGGAATTGCACTTGCAAAGGCTTGTGGGATGGTTAGGTGCTATTTTTTGTGCCTACTTGTCCTTTCTGGGCTCTTTGAGGTCTGTTTTGGCCATTTTAAAAGTCACGTCCAGGTTCGGCGCAGTCACGCCTCTATCGGACGCGCCTCAGTTGGTTGTTGCCTGTATTACAATTGCTACAGGAGGCAGAAAAAATATATTAAATGGCCCACCAACCCCCTCAGCAATTTCCAGGTTCCCAGATTAGGTTTAAACGCTGCCTGGGGCTGGCACCCTTTGCTTGTAGGTCATGTTGGGTCGATGAGGGGCTGGGATGGGGGAGAAACTTGCGGCTGGCCGGCTGGCTGGCTTTGCCTTTGGGCAGCGAGTAAGTTTGTGCTTTTGCCTGGAACTGCCATCTGAAAACTGCTCTGTACAGCACGAGAGGGAGAGAGGGGAGGCAAAGGTGTTCGGGTTGCTATAAACACTAAAAAAAAACACCAACGCAGATTCTTTAATCTCCCTTTCCTGGGCCGGCTGCATACTGCATCTCTAATCATTTAATCACTACGTGGCTTTCATGAGCAGGCAATCCTTTTGTGCAAGGTCGAGCCCTGCACCCCCACGGCAGGACCAAAGCCCCATTCATAAACAAGCCCCTGGACATCTCCCTTTTATCCCGTGCACATGGATGCGAGAGAATTGCAAACAATGGGGCGGTTTGAAACAAAAGTGGCCCATTGTTCAGCGACTGCCAAGGCAGGAGGTCAGCCAGCCCAGCCCTGGCCTGTTGCAGGCGGGAGACTATTGTCTCCGTAATTGGATTTGTGCTGATGGTGTCCAGCCAGTGGGGCTGCAAGCAAGGAAGCTGACCTGATTTGGGGGGCAGGCAGAGGGAGGCAGCAGGAGGAAGGAGACGCTTGCCAAGCAAGATAAACAAAGCTGCCGCTTGGGCCAGCCAGGCTGACTTGGAAGTTTGTGTGGCATTTGCTGAGGGCAACACATTCAAAGTCCCAGGGAGGGGTGGTGATGGTGGAATTCTAATAAAGTTAGAAAGCAACAGGCTGCGGGGGGGGGGGGCAGCACTGGGCCTCATGCTGGTAGCCAGGGTGGATCCCAAATGCCCTGGCATATTTTGGCACTGAATTTTGGAAGGTGGGCAGGAGAGAGGGGAAGTTGAGCTTGCCACAAAGCGCCAACTTTTCACGCCTGGTAAAAGCAGATGGGCTGCTGTCCTGAAAACCACGTGTTGGTGGTTGGGCTCAGGCTAAGTTGAGTTTAGGGGAAGTGCTTTTGTAGAACTGAGTACCTTGACTTCAGAGTGTGTGGCCCACTTGCCCAGTTTTTCTCCATTCTGTCTCTCTGTCTCTCTCTGTGTGTGTGTGTGCGCGTTTGGAGAGGAAGGTGGGTTTCTGTATGTTGTTGTTGTTTAGTCATTTAGTCGTGTCTGACTCTTCGTGACCCTATGGACCAGAGCACGCCAGACACTCCTGTCTTCCACTGCCTCCCGCAGTTTGGTCAAACTCATGCTGGTAGCTTCAAGAACACTGTCCAACCATCTCGTCCTCTGTGTTCCCTTCTCCTTGTGCCCTCCATCTTTCCCAACATCAGGGTCTTTTCCAGGGAGTCTTCTCTTCTCATGAGGTGGCCAAAGTCTTGGAGTCTCAGCTTCAGGATCTGTCCTTCCAGTGAGCACTCAGGGCTGATTTCCTTCAGAATGGATAGGTTTGATCTTCTTGCAGTCCATGGGACTCTCAAGAGTCTCCTCCAGCACCATAATTCAAAAGCATCAATTCTTCGGCGCTCAGCAGCATGCCTAGTTCTGTTTGATACCGGGTGTGAGGAAAATGGGGTCCTGAATAGGCAGGCAATGCCGTACAGTGCGGCATGGAAAGTGAAACTAGAACAAGGACTAGGACTGCAACACAAGTCAAGCCTGCATTTGTGAGTTTGTTAGGACTATTGCATACCCGCCAACATTTCTCCAATGAAAATAGGGACATCCTATTCCACAGCAGCGGCAGCAGCAGCAGCAACAACAGTTTTATTATTTATACTCTCCCATCTGACTGGGTTGCTCAGCCACTCTGGGCAGTTTCTGACATACATAAAAACATAATTAAACATTAAACAACTTCCCTATACAGGGCTGCCTTCAGATGCCGTCTAAAGGTTGTATAGTTACTTATCTCCTTGGCTCAGGGGTTGCATAACTCCATACCCTCCCACATTTCTCCGATGAAAATAGGACTTTCTGAGGAAAAGTGGGACATTCTGGGATCTAATCAGAAACTGGGATGGCTTCTGTAAATCTGGCACTGTCCCTGGAAAATAGGGACACTTGGAGGGTCTGTTGCAATGTCACTTTTAATAAGAGAGTTACAGTTTCTCTACTGCTGTCTCCGGTATTCTTTAAACACTTAGGTCAGTTATACGGTATTCCTTATAGTACATTCGCACATGGCCAGATTCTGCATGTGGAATGACTTATGTGGAGGGAAAGATCAGCCACAGGGAGTAAAATGTATTGGACCAGTCACGCCTTACCTTGAGGGAGAAAAGGCTAGGAAAAAGGAAAAAGGAACTCAGTAGATGAGGAAGAGACTGTAAGTGGAGTTTTCCAAACAGACCACATTTGTCAGTCCACTTACATATGTTTCAATGATTCTGTTCAGTTTTTACGATTAATTTCAATTTGTCTATGTGCTTTTAAATTTAGAAATTTTGGTAATTAAGTGGTACATAAATAGCAGAAATAAATATGCAGAAATCGTACTTCAATGCTGACTTTCCCAGATTGGATCGGAGATAGGAAAATCCCCGTGTTTGAATGCTCTGTGTAAAACAATTTCCTGTACGTAGAAAGGTAGCGTGACAGGAGGAGGAAGAGTCTTAGCCTAGTCTTCTCCCCAAGCAGGAGGGGCTTTCTTTGGCTGCAGAAACATCCAGACATCTGACACGTAACCTTTGCTGTTAGGGATGGTACAATTCAAGAAGGGGTGACCTGCGACTCCAGTCTGCTTGAAACTCCCTTTTGAAGGAACTCGGAAGGGATGGTGTATAACTCCTGCCTGCAATAGATCAGGTCGGAGTTCATCTTTGCTCCTCTTCTTCTTTTTTAAAACTGCTGGCAATTCCCTTTGGTGTTTTAGTGTATTTTGGTTTGTTGATCTCTCTCGCTCACACAGCATTCTTGGGAACTCTGGTTTGACTCTCGTGCATTCCACTTAACAGGTGCCTTCAGCAAAAAACATAAATCACTGCTCTTTTTTACCAGGAATATTTCCAGTTCTGTGGCCATGCCGAAGAACCTAAGAAGAGCTTGCTGGATCAGGCCAATGGCCCATCTAGTCCAGCATCCTGTTCTCCCAGTGACCTACCAGACGCCTGTGTGAAACCAGGGAGCAGCACAGGAGCACAAGAGTGCTCTGCTCACCTGCGATTCTCAGCAATTGGTATTCAGAGGAATCATAATAGAATCATAGAATTTCAGAATTGGAAGGGATGACAAGGGTCATCTAGTCCCACCCCCTGAAATGTCTTCTCTTTGGCGATCACATGTAGCCGAGTAAGATCTTCCATAAACACGGTTTTAACAATGAGTCCGTAGGTGACTGTGGAGGCCAATTCTGGATCCACACATCCTTCCACAGTGGGGACATTGGTTTCCGGGCGGGAGTTCATCACGGTGTGGATTTGCCAAGCATGCTTTCCTCTTAGCACGTTTCTCCCTTGCGTCCTGAGTTCGAGTGTCTTCAAAGTCCATGACACCTTTGGTAAAGGCTGTTCTCCAGCTGGAGCGCTCGCAGGCCAGTGCTTCCCAGTTGTCGGTGTTTATACTACATTTTTATAAATTTGCCTTGAGACCATCTTTAAACCTCTTTTGTTGACCACCTACTCACCTGAAATGTAGTGGAGGTAGAACATAGCCATTGTGGCTAGTAACCATTGAATGCATATGATAATATATAAAGTATTTTGTGTGTGGATGTTCGTTTATGAACTGGTCGCCTTTTCCCCTTTCCATACAAATCATGTTTCTCTTTTCACCTGGACATTGGGCTTTCCAGAGATGATAGTGAGGACCTCCTTATCATGCCTTTTTAGATAATGTAAATTCCCCATCAAGCCCTCCCAGGTTGTACCACTTCCCCCATCAAATCAATCCTGGGAGATGAATCACTGATAGTCACACTGTCTTCCTGGACTGCTAAGTTTACAACAGCCTAGATCTGACACTTATGCATTTCCTGGTTAGACGTGGAGTCGCTCCCAGCCATGTGGATCCACCCACTGGCTGCTTGACCTTTCCCACCCACCCCTCCTTTCTGAAAACTAACATTGGCAGAGTGATCACATCTCATTCCCTTTGTCACATGCCTGGGTGCCCAGAACAAAAACTTTTTTGTGACAATCGCCTTCTTGAGTGTTCATCCTCCATGGCCCAGTATGGAGCTGCAAATCATACAGACAATGTATGTGTTTTCTCTAGGCTTGTTCACACGTTACAGTGAACACAGGTCCAAGCTGTTTCCTCTACAAGTGCTTGTGTGAAAGAGTGTAAACTTTTTAATTTGTACAGCTGGGCCATTGTGTACACAGGCTGTACGCTCACTGAATACTGCATGTGAATAACTGTATGAATGTGCAACTGAGCTGCTTGTATAAGGATTGTATAAAGATTGCACATTTGTTGAATGTAATGTGTGAATGCACAACCCATTCTTTGTGACTCCTTTCTAAATGCTTACATGTTATTTGGCTTCGAAGTCTGCATTCTGAGCTTAAAAAACACTCCCCTCCAGTCTTCTGCGGTGTTGCAGCTTGCAGGTTAAGATAAAGGTAAAAGGTAAAGGACCCCTGGATGGTTAAGTCCAGTCAAAGGCAACTATGGGGTTTCGGCGCTCATCTCGCTTCAGGACTAGGGAGCTGGAGTTTGCCCACAGACAGCTTTCCGGGTCATGTGGCCAGCATGACTAAACCGCTTCTGTCACAACGGAACAACATGACGGAAACCAGAGCGCACGGAAACGCCATTTACCTTCCCGCTGCAGCAGTACCTATTTATCTACTTGCACTGGTGTGCTTTCGAACTGCTAGGTTGGCAGGAGCTGGGACAGAGCAACAGGAGCTCACCCTGTCGCGGGGATTTGAACCACCAACCTTCTGATCAGCAAGCCCAAGAGGCTCAGTGGTTTAGACCACAGCACCACCTGCGCCCCTTTCAGGCTAAGATAAACTTTGCTCGACTTGAACTGTTTTATGGCTCACTTCTAAGGGCTTGGAAGACCCTTGCTCGTGGGTAGGCAAACTAAGGCCCAGGGAACGGATCCGGCCCAATTGCCTTCTATATCCGGCCCGCGGACGGTCTGGGAATCAGCGTGTTTTTACATGAGTAGAATGTGTGCTTTTATTTAAAATGCATCTCTGGGTTATTTGTGAGGCCTAGGAATTTGTTCATTCCCCCCCCTTCAAAATACAGTCCGCTCCCCCCCACAAGGTCTGAGGGACAGTGGGCCGGCCCCCTGCTGAAAAAGATTGCTGACCCCTGCCCTTGCTCCTTCGACAGCAAACTAAGCATGGATTAGAATTTATGGAGTGGCATTATAAAACATGTAAGTCCTACTGTTTGGCCTTTAAAGCGTATTAATATGATATACTTGTTCTTGGTCCATGTTTAGGAAAATGATCTGAATAAATGGCTTTGCTTGGGTTTAATTCCATCATAGGTCAAGAACTCAGGACTGAGAGTGGGAATATGGCCATGGCAAAACCTAAATCTCTCAATTTAGGCTCAATTTTCAAAAGCTGACAAAACGTGTTCTTATAAGTACTGTATGCTTATATAGCTTGCAGAGTTGTTCCAACATTTGCCTTTGTTTCACTTTTCTTCTTTGTTGATTTGACCTTTTTTGGCCCTTAACTTATGTGACAGTTTAATGGTAATCCAGATAAACCTTGAGACATAAATCCACGTCTTTGTGGTATTCTGTAGGAAATGTTTAGATAAGGAAGTGGAAGAGTGCAAAGTGTCCTGGAAAGGATCTTCCACAAGGTCGAAATTGTGGCTCACTGTCAGCTGCCTCTGGTTGACCCTGCTGTGTTTTAATGGTGCAATGTTGAGTTGAGAATTACTTAGATTGTGTCTCTCTCTCTGTGTGTTGGTGATATGATTAGTCGAGGTCCACAAATGTGCTTGCTGTTGGCGAGGGGATCTTTTTAAATGGGTGTGTAGAGCACCAGGGAGAATTGCTGTACAGTGGATGCTCGGGCTGCGAACGTGATCCATGTGGGATGCATGTTCGCAACCCGCAGCGTTCGCAACCCGCAGAGGCGCATCTGCGCACACACAGGTTGTGATTGGGTGCTTCTGTGCATGCGCAAAGCGCGATTAAGCACTTCTGCACATGCGCGACCGCCGAAACCCGGAAGTAACCTGTTCCGGTACTTCTGAGTTTTGGTGGTCCGGAATCCAAAAAAAAAACGCAACCTGAAGCGTCTGTAACCCAAGGTATGACTGTACTTCTCACAAACCTAGAGAAGAGGCCAAAGTGTGGTGAATCTTGGAGATACTTGGAAAGGAGCAAGATGGCTTGTTGGCCTTCCGAGTGTTTTTGAGATTCATCACAGCACATATCCTCTTTCTTTCCTCCCACTCTTTCCTAGCTCGGAGTGAGGGAAGAGGAAAGAACGTCAAACAAGGGCCCGCCCTCTAGGTGTGGGTTTGTGCGTCAAGTCAGTCATACATTTGTGCTGGCTGCCAGGGCCTCCTGGCTTAGTTTGGAATTTGGACTCCACAGACTGCCCTGTTTTCTGACAGAGTTGGAAAATAATTCTTGACTCCGGCTACAAATTTCAGACATTGGAAGGTGGTCTCCCAGTCAACTTCATTGCTGAATGAAGCTTGTAAGCCAGGATTACTTGACCAAAGGCCATTGCTTTTATGCATCACACCACAACTAGATAGTCTTTTACCTGTCAAGTGACACATTTCCTTGGGGATAATCGGCCAGAGACAGTTTACCACTGGTGGGCAGCAGACGGTGGGATGAAAGTCGAAAGTATGCAGGGTCACCTCCTATCCCCCTCTGCATTTCTGTCACCCCCGCTTTCCTTTCCCCTCAATCTTCTTCCTTCTACCACCCCTTTTGCTTCTCCCACCTCCCTCCCCACCCAGAATTCTGCAGGGGGAAGGAAAGGTGGCTCTTCCCAAAAATATGAATGGAGAGGGAATTCCCTGAAGTGTTTCACCCAGTCATAACAACAACAACAACAACAACAACAATATTTTTTTCTTTATACCCCTAGTCACTCTGGGCGGCTCCCAACACAATATTAAAAACACGATAAAACATCAAACATTAAAAATTTCCCTAAACAGGGCTGCCTTCAGATGTCTTCTAAAAGTCAGATAGTTGTTTATTTCCTTTACATCTGATGGGAGGGCGTTCCACAGGGAGGGGGCTACTGCTGCAAAGGACCTCTACCTGATTCCCTGTAACCTCACTTCTCGCAGTGAGGGAACCGCCAGAAGGCCCTTTGAGATGGACCTCATGGGGCTGAACGATGGGGGTGGAGACGCTCCTTCAGGTATACTGAGCTGAGGCCATTTAGGGCTTTAAAGGTCAGCACCAACACTTTGAATTGTGCTCAGAAACATACTGGGAGCCAATGGAGGTCTTTCAGGACTGGTGTTATGTGGTCTCGGCAGCCACTCCCAGTCACTGGTCTAGCTGCCGCATTCTGGATTAGTTGTAGTTTCCGGGTCATCTTCAAAGGTAGCCCCACGTAGAGCGCATTGCAGTAGTCCAAGTGGGACATAACTAGAGCATGCACCACTCTGGCGAGACAGTCTGCGGGCAGGTAGGGTCTCCACCTTCATACCAAATGGAGCTGATAGACAGCTGCCTTGGACACAGAATTAACCTGCGCCTCCATAATCACTGTACGGCCAAAGTAATTGTTTCATTGCCTTAAGTTTACAGAGCTACTAACCTTTTCTCATTTTATATTTTGGTTTCATTGAGACATAGCATGCAAAGGGCTTTTGAAATTAGACTGAGGACTGGATGGATTGCTCCACTTTTCTGTCTAGGCTTTGAGTGGTGTTGTTGGGTGCCTGCCGTCTGCCCAGCCCCGACTGGCGACTCTCAAGAAATATCACTGGGGAAATATCCCTGTATTTTGCACCACAAGCCTCCTGCTGTCAGGATGAGCCTTCTTCCGTACTGCTGAAGTCTCGCCTCGCCGCCTTCATATCTTCTGAACCTGCCAGTTTTGTCCCTCTCCCCTGCGCTGTTTTGAAACCCCCCTGATGGTTTTCTGAGGGGGGAGTCCTGGGCAGTCACTCAGATCGGATGGCTGGTGCTCGAGGGAGATATTCCAGGGCCCTGGAGATGACTCAAGGCAAGAAGCCCTTTTCATTTCTGTCACCTGACTTCTTAACGCAAAGGCTCATCTTTTGGGGAATTTCCCACAGGCAGCCTTCTTGTACAGACTGCACAGCATGGCAAGCAGGAACGCCTCACTCCCCAATGCCTCTCCTTTTGTCTAAAGCCTGATTTAAATCGCATTTTACCAGTACTGCACACCCACAATACTTCTATAAATCTTGCAGCCATTGTACACAGTTGTTTACACAGGTGTTTTGTCAAGGTTTTTTGCTACTGGCAGTCCACTAGGTCAGGAGTGCAGAGAGGGTTCATTTCTTCGAATGGTCCCGGAGCTTTTCTGAGTTGTGGAAGAGACCTAGGCCCCACCTGCACTATGCATTTAAAACAGTATCATGCCATTTTAGACAGTCACACCTCCTCCCAAAGAATCCTGGGGGTTGTAGTTGGTTAAGGGCGCAGGGAGTTGTTAAAATGCCCTCTATTCCCCACAGAAAGCTGCAATTTCCACAGCGGTTTAACCATCCATCACTCTTCCTAGGGATTTCTGGGAATTGTAGCTCTGTGAGGAGAATTGGGGTCTCCTAACCACTCTCAGCTCCCTTAAGAAACTACTGTTTGCCAGATCCTTTGGGGGAAGCACTGAAGGAGGTAGAGGAGTGTGGGGGGAGCGCCCTGCCCCTGACAGTGCTATCCTGGCAGGGTACCATCATGGCTGCCCCCCCGCGCTCGGTGCCCTGCCCCCAGGACGCATGCCAGGCCCGCCCCCACCTGCTCTCCGCCCCCCAGTGCCGGAGCATGAAGCTCCGCCACTGGGGGGAAGCCATGCATTTTTGAGGTGGTGTGATACTGCTAATAATAATAATAAGAAGAAGAAGAAGAAGAAGAAGAAGAAGAAGAAGTTACTTATACCACTCCCATCTTGCCAGGCCTCCACAGCCGCTATGGGCGGCTCCCAACAGAATATTAAAAATACGACAAAACTTCAAACATTAAAAACTTCCCTAAACAGAGCTGGCTTCAGATGTCTTCTAAAAATCAGGTAGTTGTTTATTTCCTTGCCGTCTGATGGGAGGGCATTCCACAGGGAGGGTGCCACCACCGAGAAGGCCCTCTGCCTGGTTCCCTGTAACCTCATTACTCACAGTGAGGGAACCGCCAGAAGGCCCTCAGAGCTGGACCTTAGTGTCCGGGTAGAACTATGGGGGTGGAGATGCTCTTTCAGGTATACTGGACCAAGGCTGTTTAGTGCAGATGGGACCTCTGATGGGTACAGGCGACCTGTCAGATGTCAAGGAAGTAAGCAACTATCTGACTTTTAGAAGACATCTGATTGCAGCCCTGTATAGGGAGGTTTTTAATGTTTTACTGTGCTTAATGTTTTTCATTTGTTGGAAGCTGCCCAGAATAGCTGGGGCAACCCAGTCAGATGGGCAGCATATAAATAGATCATCATTATTATTGTTATTATTACCCACCCTCCACAGCTTGGGTGGGGCAGGAGGGTGGGGAAGTGAAGAACAGGGCGCTTTCCTCTTCCTCCCACATAGTTTGATCACCACTTACTTCAGTCAGGCCAGTTTGTCTTCCTAAACACAGCCCATTTCCCTGCGCCACATCTGGTGAGAGACGCCATGCTCCCATTTCCTCCCTGCCTGTGGCAGACTGTACATCAGATAAACGAAACCACAGGCTGCAGTTGCACATGGCAGTCTGCTTGGAACAGCTTGGTGCGAAGGGATCCTGGCTCCGTGCTGCGAGTCGGCTTAGATCTCCGGTGTCCAACTGACCTGCAACTGGGTCATGAGTTGATTTGTTGGGGATCTTTGAGGGAAGCCATTGCTGTTTAAAGTGGTTTGGTGCTGCTTCAAATGGTGATAGGGCCTGTCTCATTTACTGATGTGATGGATTGCAGCTGCCTCTTATCCCAAATTTTGCCAGTCACAGCACAAAGGAGCTGTCAAGCTCTCCACCTTGCTTGCGTTTAAATTTTGGGATTTCAGCCAGCGGCGTCCCACTGGGTTTGGTTGAAATTTCGCAAGTTAAATGCGCACAAGATGCAGTCCTTTTGCATTATACAAACACACTGTCTCTGCTGCCTTTGCCACTCCTGCAGAAAACCTTACATTTTCAAGCATTTTAAGTAGACATATTTCCCGGTCTGCATCTATACTGCAATTGCTTTTAGGTATTCTTAAAGGTAAAGGTAAAGGTACCCCTGACCATTAGGTCCAGTCATGACCGACTCTGGGGTTGTGGCGCTCATCTTGCTTTATTGGCCAAGGGAGCCGGCGTACAGCTTCCGGGTCATGTGACCAGCATGACTAAGCCGCTTCTGGCGAACCAGAGCAGCGCACGAAAACGCCGTTTACCTTCCCGCCGGAGTGGTACCTATTTATCTACTTGCACTTTGACTTGCTTTCAAACTGCTAGGTTGGCAGGAGCAGGGACCGAGCAACGGGGGCTCACCCCGTCGCGGGGATTCAAATTGCTGACCTTCTGATCGGTAAGCCCTAGGTTCTGTGGTTTAACCCACAGTGCCACCACTTCTGATCGGCAAGCCCTAGGCTCTGTGGTTTAACCCACAGCGCCACCTGCACCCACCTTAAAACGATTTCTTAGCATCTAGAAACTGAGCTCATCCTTGGGACACTTCTGTACTTCTCAAACTACTTGCCTGGCTTGGCCTGTAGGGGAATGAGGAATAATGCTCTTTGGAGAAGCGCAGAGAGTTACACATAGCAAGCTGTCTTTTACCAAGTCAGACTATTGGCCCATTTAACTCAGTTCTGTCAACACTGACTGGCAGCAGTTCTCCAGGGTTTCTTTTGCCTGGAGATCTACCTGGGAAGTTTTGCATGCAAAGCATGTGCTCTTCCCTTGAGCTACGGTCCTGACCCAAGTTCACATTTGCTATCAGGATTAATTTTCTTGATTTTTTTAAATATTTTTTAATTAAATCAGATTTTTTCTATTTAAATTGGATTTTTAAAATAAAATGCTTTTGGAGGAAAAATCTTTCTAAAGATAGTTTTCTATTTAAGTTACATTATAGTCCAAAGGCTATTCATCAGGAAATAAGGATTTTTTTAAAGTTTTTCATGTGTGCTAAAATTCAGTCCACTTTTTTTTAAAAAAAACACCATTTAACCACATCAGTTAACAAACATGGATACATATGCTATAATTTTATTGTTTTAGTTAAATAAATTATTTAAATTGTTATTAAGGAAATGATCTTTTCTCTCCTTCCAATAAAGTACAGCAGAAAAGCTGTCCAAATATAAACAGTTAACTTATTAAACCTCACAATAATTTCACAATTACTGTATCTGCCTATGTATTTCTAATAGTATAACCAAATCAGTAATTTTTGATATAACTGTAAAAACTACTCTGAAAATTGATTATTCCAAAAATGAAACCTTCATCTGGTTGTAAATATTAAGATTATACCAGCAAGAATGAATATTTCTGTAAAAAAAAAAAAGATTTAAATCAAGTATTACTGACTAGTGATTTAAATCAAATCATATTGACTAGTGATTTAAATCGTGATCCACCCTGTTTGTGACTAATTGCCATGTTCAAGAAGAGGAAGGAAAGTATTTGCAAAAGGATCAGAAGGTGCGAGATGCAGGCAGAAACCAGTCAATAGTTGGAGAATAGGCAGAGATCTGAATAGCTTTAAAAAAAAAAAGAAAACAAAAACAGCATGTTTAAAGCAAGAAAAGACTCACTTGAAATAGGAAAGTTTAAAGATGTGAATAAGAGGAAAGAACAGGCAGAACAGTAGTTACTAAATGCAAGAGGGAAATGGATCAGGAAGTGAAGTAGAAACTTTAATTAAGGGGTGGGGAACCCTTTTTGGTCCAAAGGCCAGATACTTACCAGGCAGGCCCTCTGAGGGCCAAGTGGCTGGTTCTAAAGGATGATGCTTTAAATGAAGTTAATAACATTATATTTTTTATTATTAAAAATTCCACCATTGCAGCTTTCCAACAGTATTGAAGCCCATAAGTTATTCACCACCATGTTAAAGGCAGAATTCATGCATGCATACACACACACACACACACACACACACACAGCAAATTAAAAGGGGACGAGTATATTTGGGGCAAAAAAAAAGTCAAGAGACCCTTGGATGACTGTGAACATTTTTACCCTTGCCTTCAAGTAAATTCCCAGAGCAGCTTACAAGGAAGCTCAAATTGCAATAAAACAATTATGCTACTAAAAGCTTCAACATCTATAAAAGAAGCCCATAAAACCATTAGCAGAGATAAAACAGACTAAAATAAAAGACCCGGGAAAATAAAAACTTGTTTGCCACTTGCTACAATGACATCAAGGTAGACACAAGTCGAGTCCTCCTGGGGAGATGATTCCATAGCCAGGGCACCTCTTTCACTGGTATTCACCCCATATCAGACATGAGAAGAACCATTGGTGAAGATTTCAGTGTACAGAGAAACGTATGAGATAAAGGTACTAATTGAGGGGGGGGGGAGAGAATGGGCAAAGGAGCAGGTCGAAGAAGAGAATTTGCAGAAGCAACCAAACACTGAGATGAGAGGAAGATTTGGCAAGAAACCGTGAAATTGCTTGGCAGAAAACAGAGCAGGTGGATAGGAGTAAAGGATGTATTTAACAAAGAGAGATCAGAGCGAAGTTGTGTTGGCAGCTCTGGCCCAGGAAACAGTCAAGGCTGAGGAGCAACGAGGTAAAGAGAACGATAGAGCTGTGGTAAAGCAGGATGTTGCGAGATGGAGTGGGATGCTCTGGAGAAGAAAGTCCAAGTGATGGAACAAAGAGGATAAGAGGGTTTGAGGAGAGTGAGATTGGGAAACATAGGAAGGTGGCCTATACTGAGTACTGGTCTACCTAACTCAGTATTGTCTACATTAACCGGGAGTGGATTGCAGGCAGGGTTCTCTCCCACCCTTACGTGGAGATGCCAGGATTTGAGCCTGGGACCTTCTGCATGCAAGGCAGATACTCTATCACTGAGCTACAGCTCCTTACCTAACAAGCTGCTGTGCAAGGTGGAGTGAATGATGGACTGAATCTCTACTATACTTTCTTGGTCACCAAATACCACCACCTAGAATGGAGTTTGCGGAGATCTGCACAACCTGTAGCCCACCAAGGCACTTGGGTGGCCAAAATTCAGGGCTGAAGTCAACTTACTCAGTAATTAAAGGTTCTGTCCCTCAATTTTCAGGGCCAAAGCCCCTACCCAAGGCAGATCCCAAGTTCTTCAGTAGTACCGGGGCATTTTTGCTTCTTCAGAAATGGCTGCACAAGAATCAGGATGCCATGAGTCCATTAAGCAGCCAGTGTAGTTGCCATGCGTAAAAAGCCTGTCTGTTTGGTGTGGGTGGAGGAACACATTAAGCCTCTTAAGCAAAGACAATACAAGACCTGGAATACCAGGCATTCTTCAGAAGAAGAGAGAGACCACCTGCCAGATCAAGGCACCTGAGATCTGAGGTCAGCAGTAAATTTAGGAGGTGGGGATTACCGCAAAGACAGGCTTGTGAGCTCCGTTCCCACGCTGTGCTGGAGCTGTGGATGCTGTGAGCTGTGTTCTGGTATGCGCAAAAGGACTGCTACCATTATAAAGGTGTCCAAGTAGCTCGCACACTCTTTCCCTTTGAAACAGAGAAAATCACAGCCTTAAACCATGGGAAACCAATTCTCCCTGTGGCCTTTACTGAAAGAGTCTTTACTCATTTTGGAAGGTTTCTTCTTCCTTTTCCTCTCCTCCAGGGACAGTCTATATGTTCTTGTCACGTTGCAGAGAACTGATCACAAGTGCTCTCTGTGGGAGGTAGAAAATGTGGAAGACTTGGTCTGTTGGGCGAAAATAGCAAAAACCCAGAGTGGGGTTTCTCTGAACAGGGTGGGGTGTATACAGGGGTGCCAACTTGAATAAAATATTGGGTGGGGCCAGGAAAGGCCTACGCTGCACGATCAATCACAAGGCACACACCATTTGAATGGCAATGCCCATCAACTTTGGGGGGGGGGGCAGAGCCCTCAAATATTTACTCGGGAAAGTTTAATGGGAAGGGAGGGGAACAGGAAACTAGTTTTCTTTGAACCACTCAAGAAATCTGGGCTGTATATCTTCGGCACGATTTTTTCTTACCTCTGGAATGAAAACCTATCCGTTCTTACTTGTGACCACGCATGGTTACAAACGTTTCTCATATGATACTTTTATCACTGGAATGACGCGTGGGAATCAGCCTTGACACCGAAATGAGTTGTGGGTTTTAATCTTCGGAGAAAATTTGCCGCGTAAATAATACAGTGTTATGACTTCGTACTGAAAAGGCGATACATCTCCTTGTAGCTGGCTTGTAGCTGATTTGAAAATAATGTTATGACTTCTTGCTTCTAGATTCCCTTTAAAAAAAAAAAGGCTGTTCATGCTCACTGATCAATATGGAATGAAATTCAATTTATCAACTAAGGATTCTCAAGTGCCTCTCCGAATTTAAATGGGAAAGTTATTATGGTGCATCTTTTTAAAGAGCCTCATGTTGCGTTAGGCATTATAGTTGCTGAGTGGATGGATGTTCGCTCTTTTAACTACACTACCTGCAAAATGAAAATTATGCCATATATCTTTTCTTTTTTAAAAAAGAGCCTTGCAATGTTAAGTGGGTCCTCTTAGGTGCATTACTGCAATTCAAAAATAGGCTTTGCTTGGGTTTGACTGGCAATGCATATCTTAAGTGCTCCAGGGATTGGAGAACAAAGATATTGATATTGTGTGAATTCTCTTCCTTAAAAACAGATGAATACATTCTGGCTGTGCGACATCAAAAGATGCAGACAGTGCCAGACTATCCGCTAATGTCAGAATGATGTTTTTGATAAAAGCTTTAGATGACAGGCGTGGATGGCCAAATTAATGGTGTCTGGAGTAACACCTGTCACAGCACCACAGTTTTATCAGGTTTTTTTAAAGGTACAACGTGAATCTTTTTTCATATTTTGAGATTCACGACAGGCTCGTTGTAAGCATCCTGGGTTTAGAATCTCATGTTGAATGCAGATAATTGTGTTTCTTTCAGCTTATAGACAGAGAGAACATTTCTCTCCTTTGAGGGTAGCAGAACAGCTGGTTCCCACATCCATGACTTCAGAGCGATGACTTGTACGTGTGAATGAGCCACTGCAGATCTAGCACCACAGATGGAACTCTTACCACAAATTCAATACAGCATTACACAAGGGCCCTGCTGTCTCATGGTAGCCAGTGAGATGCCTGCAGGAGGCTTGCAAACAAGGCTTGAGAGCAACAGCATTCTCTTCACTTATACCCCATTATCAGGAATTCAGAATCAAATCCTAGCCATCATGGCACGTACCTGTTGATAAGGGGTACTCAAGAATAACCGTGTCCAATTCCATTGTTGTTGTTGTTCACCAGAGTTTTGCCCCTGTTAGCAGAGTGGCTTTTGGTGACAGCACCAGGCATCTGCAGCCTCCACCCAACACCCATTCCACGGAATGATACAGCCTTGAGCATTATGGGTAAATAAACATGGCGGCTGTTAACAACAGCTCTGCTGCTGCAGCAGCAGCAGCAAGGGAAGCATAAGCCTATTCATACTGTCTAATTCAGGGCTGGGGAGCTTGATGCCCTATAGAGGTGCTGTTGAACTCCAACTTCCATCAGCCCCAGGGATGATGGGAATTGTGGTCTCGTGACATTTGGAGGGCCATAGGTCCCTCACCTCTCTCCTGATGGGTGATGAATGATGGGCATGAATGGCAAAGCACCAAGTATACCCATTTGCACTCATTTGTTACTAACCCGTTTCAGAAATCAGACTAAATGGGGACTCATTCAATTCCCTTTTACATTGGTTCTGAAACAGCTCTCTATGACAACAGATGATAAAGGTAAAGGTAAAGGACTCCTGACAGTTAAGTCCAGTCGCGAACGACTCTGGGGTTGCAGCGCTCATCTCGCTTTACTGGCCAAGGAGCCGGCGTGGCTAGCATGACTAAGCTGCCTCTGGAAAACCAGAGCCGTTTATCTTCCCGCCGGAGTGGTACCTATTTATCTACTTGCACTTTGGGGCGTGCTTTTGAACTGCTAGGTTGGCAGGAGCTGGGACCGAACAATGGGAGCTCACCCCGTCGCAGGGATTTGAACCACGACCTTCTGATCAGCAAGCCCTAGACTCAGTGGTTTAGATCACAGCGCCACCCGAGTCCAATAAAAATAAAGGGGGCCCAGAGTGCGGTAGCAGGTTTGCTTCTTGCCACTCCTATTTGAAGAACAGTTAATATTGCTTTAAGCACGAGCTGGACCTGATCAGAAGAGTATGTGGGGAATCTGACCTGCGGAGTCAAAAGCCGAAAGGTCATGTATGCAGTTGAAGTGTCTTTGTAGTGGGGATGCCCTCTGCGCCGTCACAACTGTTTACACAGTTGTTGCCGCTTAATTAAAAGTCCTTAAAAACGATGCTGCTTAAGGAATCGTTGTTTTTATTATTGTTCAGTTAGGTGCTTCTTTTCTCGTGGGAAGAGGTCTTGTTGTATTGAAACGCGACTAATTGGATAACGATCTGTATGAAGTGCTTATGGCTGCAGGGATGCAGTCTCCAGGGAACTCAATGGGACTGCATTGGAACGAAAAATAATGTAAAATACGTGAATTCAAATATCGTAATGTACAAGGAATCAAAGTGATGGTCAAACTTCCAGAAATAATAGAAGGTTGTTCTGCATGGAATTATTCTGACTGCAGGGCTGTAGTTTTATAACTATATACATGAGGATGCACACAGTGGATTCAGGTAGCAAGTGTTTTAATATGAAAAACATCTTTAAAGTGATTTTATGTTAGCCACAAACATAGAACCAAACCTAGCAGCCGTATAAGAACATAAGAAGAGCACGCAGGATCAGGCCGGTGTCTCATCTAGTCCAGCATCCTGCTGTTACAGTGGCTACCCTGGTGTCTGCAGGAAACCTGCAAGCAGGATCCGAGCACAAGAGCACTCTCCTTTCCTATGGTTTCCATGCAACTGATATCCAGCAGTATTGCTGCCTCACAACTGTGGGGCAGAGCATAGCCACCGTGGCTGGTAGCCACCAATAGCCGTCTCCTCCATGAATTTGTCCAATCCTCTTTTAAGGCTATCCAAGTTGGTGTCAATCACTGCCTCCTGTGGGAGTGAGTTCCATAGCCTACTGCATGAATAAGTACTTTGAAGAAGTCATTGGTGCAGACTGTTGTCTGTCTCTCTCTCTCTTTCTCTCTGTGTGTGTATGTTAGTGTGTGTGTTCAAAATAAACTTACATTCTTATTTTGTACAGTCATACCTTGTGTTGCGTTTGCTTCAGGTTGAGCGTTTTCAGGTTGCATCCCGTGGCGACCCGGAAGTACTGGAAAGGGTTACTTCTGGGTTTCGCTGCTCGCGCATGCGTAGCTGCTCAAAATGACGTCATGCGCAGAAGTGGTGAGACGCGCATAGGCGGGTTGCGTTCTGCTTATGTTGCGAACGGGGCTCACAACATGAGCGAGGTAGTATGTGTCAGTCCTATGTCCAGATTTCCAGCCAAAAGTTCTGGATGAGAGCATATTGTGCTGGCGGCTCGCTATCATTCTCAGTTTTTGTTAACATTGGTAATAAAATCATACCAGCCTGAGATGAATCTGTCAACTTTTGATTGACTTTTGGCCTATTTTAAAAGGAACTTAAAATAAAAATAAAAACCCTTGTCTGTTTGCAGTGGCAATGAGGGTGCTGTTTAGGACGGTATTCACAAGATGATGATTAATTCAATTTGTATACTTCCCTCCATACAAAGATCCCAGGATGGTTCACAACAGAAAAATACTAAACGAGAACACAAAAATAGATAATAAAACAAAAACAATCCAATAACCCCCTCTCCCACAAACACGCCTAAAATGCACCCCTCAGGTGGTTGTGGTGGTAAGCAGCATAACAGATTTTTACTGGTGATGTCACGGACTGGCTAGATGCAGAGGAGAGGTGGGAGGTAAAGGACCCCTGGATGGTTAAGTCCTATGAAAGGCGACTATGGGGTTGCAGCGCTCATCTCGCTTTCAGGCCGAGGGAGCCGGCGTTTGTCCACAGACAGCTTTTCAGCTCATGTGGCCAGGATGACTAAACTGCTTCTGGTGCAACGGAACACCGTGATGGAAACCAGAGCGCACGGAAATGCCGTTTACCTTCCCGCCACAGCAATACCTATTTATCTACTTGTACTGGTATGCTTTCAAACTGCTAGGTTGGCAGGAGCTGGGACAGAGCAAGGGGACCTGGCCCTGTCGCGGGGATTTGAACTGCTGACCTTCTGATCGGCAGGCCCCAGAAGCTCAGTGGTTTAGACCACAGCAGCTAGGGAATCCCTGGGGATTAGGGGGGTCATTATGATGAATGGGCAGAGGAAGAAGACTGGGAGGTGGCACAGTTGGGATTTTAAACACAATTGCACTCAATAGGAATTACCTCCAAATAACAGGCAGAGAATTATTATTTATTATTATTATTAAACTTTTATACTGCTTAGTTGCCCAGGTGGCTTCTAAGCAGTTTGTACAAGTATAAAACCAATTGTGAAAACTCACGTAATTAAAACACACCATAAAACCATCTCATCAAAACATTAGCATAAACATGCACAATTGGAAAGTGCAGTAAAGCAAGCCCATTGAAACAGCACAACAATTACAACGCTTAAAACAGCAATTAAAGCAGGAGGTTCAAAGTCTGGAGGTTAGGGGAATGCTTTCTAAATAGGTGTGGCAGAATGCTTTCTAAAGAGCTGGCAGAAGGCCAGGACATATGGGGCCTCTCATATTGTAGCAGGAGAGCATTCCGCAACATGTGAAAATACTCACCTCTCTGCTAGTGCAAACAGATCATCATCAGGCCGTCGTAAAAAATAATCATAATTGGGTTCCATTTGTCAAATCTCCATGCACTTACTGGTAAAGGGCGGGGAAACCATCTTTCAGGTAACTTGGTTCAGAGCTGTTTAGGTCTTGACACTTGAGTACCGCAAAACTGGTTCAGTGGTTTATAGGATCAGGCAGTTGGTTGAAGAACTGGCAGAGTTAAAATGTAATTAATGCAGCTGATAGTTGTTTTATTTTTTCTAAAGCTACAAAGGACGGACCTTCATTCTAACATATAGTAAGGTAAAGGTAAAGGGACCCCTGACCATTAAGTCCAGTTGTGACCGACTCCGGGGTTGCGTGCTCATCTTGCTCTATAGGCTGAGGGAGCCAGTGTTGACTAAGTCGCTTCTGGTGAACCAGAGCAGCACATGGAAACGCCGTTTACCTTCCCGGCGGAGTGGTACCTATTTATCTACTTGCAGTTTGATGTGCTTTCAAACTGCTAGGTTGGCAGGAGCAGGGACCGAGCAACGGGAGCTCACCCCATCACGGGGATTCGAACTGCTGACCTTCCGATCGGCAAGTCCTAGCTCTGTGGTTTAACCCACAGCGCCACCCGCGTCCCTATAACATTATAGTAGCAATTTCCAATTTAACAGGTAAAAGCTATAGCACAATTCCCTCAGTGTCTTTTTAAGAACTCTAGATCAGGGGTCAGTAAGGTTTACTCCAGCGGAGATCCCTCTGTGGGCCGGATCGTGTGTGTGTGTGAGAGAGAGTGCGCGCCCCCACGATTTCTGGCACCTGCGCTGACGTGATTTCCGGTGCATCGAAAGTGATTCCCTGCGCCGCGCTGGTTTAGTGCCGCATGAGGAGACTCGCCGAGTGGCTGGCTTGGTTCAGAAGCGGCTTGTGGGCCGGTTAAATTACCCCTGTGGGCCACTTGTGGCCTATGGGCCTTAGGTTGCCGACCGCTGCTCTAGATCAAGGATGGGAAATCTGTGGCTCTCCAAATGTTGTTGAACTGCAACTCACCTCTGTGACCTTGCTCTCTGGGACAGATGGGAATCGGAGTCCGACAACATCTGGCGGACCACTGGTTCTCCATCTATGCGGAAAGTGAAAGCTTGAATGTGCTCAAATTTATTTAAATATATGTAATTTAGTCAGATGGATTAGATTACTTGGGCAATCAGTTAAAAGACCAGCCACTAGTAGGATAATAGGCCTTTAATTTGTCGATAGCACTCCTGATTTATCTTATTGCCTCCCCCCCCCCCCATCTCTCTGCCCACAAAGAAGAAGAAAACCCAGCAGGATAGCTCAGCTGGTAGAGCACAATACTCAGGGTCATCGGTTTGGGAAAACGGTTCTTGCCTTGTGAGGGGGGCTGGACTAGAGGATCCTTGTGGTCCCTTCCAGCTCTACAATACTATGATTCTAGGAAGATGAATTTCATATAAGCTTTCCTGTTGTGCTAAAAAAAAACATGAGAAACTTGACATCTTTCCTCAGGGCCTGCAAGACAGAGCTGTTCCACCAGGCCTTTGGCCAAGGCACAGTCTGACCCCTTCCTTTGGAAATCCCCATAGAACTCTAGCCCAATGGTTGCCATTAATTTGAATCTTGATTGATTTTAGAATGAATTGATTTTAGAATGTATTTCAATTAATTGACTGTGATTTTATGTAAACTGTGTTATTTTTACTGTTGTTAGCTGCTCTGAGCCCGGCTTCAGCTGGGGAGGGTGGGATATAAATAAAACTTTATTATTATTATTATTAATATGATTTGATTATATCTATCTTTACACTCACACGCTGTATGGTTATCTACTATACAGAAATAGTTACACTTAAAAAAAAAAGCTAATAAAAAGATTTTTTTTTAAAAACAGCAACACTTGGTGATCCATGTAAAAGTAGGATGAAGGATCTGTGGCCCTCCAGTCGTTTCCAAACTCCAGTTCCCACCAGTGCCAACCAGCACATCCAGTGACCAGTGATGATGGGCAGCTGGAGTCTAAGCAAAAGACCATCCTTGTTCCATATTTTAGATACACGTTAGCACCAAACTATCTCTAAGGAGGCATGAGCTGTCACCCAGCAATCAAATCAAGAGTCAGGCAGGCAGTTTGGACTGGTGCCTGTTGACGTTCTCATACGTGGGAAATTTCCTCCTGTGCTCCTCATTGTTTCTGGGGGAATACACAGCCGGTGTTTATTCTTAATTAGACCTAATGTATGTGAGAAGTACCTAGATAAATGGCAGATTGAGGCTTATCCTGCATGCATAATGGGGCAGCTAATAAGGCGGGAAAGAGGCATTGTCTTGCTGAAGGCTCCCTGGTTTCTTTCCTCTCCCATTCATTACTGCGGGGGGGGGGGGTCCCCCAGTCCCTTTGCACTTCCATGGCAATGCAACTGGGCCTTCATGCAGGTGATAATCCGAGATGGAAAATCCATTCCATGGATCATCAGCCCCGGACATCATGCTGGCAGCATTTAATAGCAGTCAGCTTTTGATGGCAAAAGTTATCTGGCTGTTGTCTAAAGGGGCGGGGCGGGGTGGGGGTGGGGAGTCCCTTTGGTAAGCCAAGTCAATGTTAACCCGAGCTGTTTTGGTTGAGCTCTGTTTGTGTTGATTTTGAAATCTCCTGTGGAAAGGTCCCCACTCTTCCCTGAAATACGAATGAATGCATCTGTCCATTTCAGTTCATGGGCGTTTCTCATTTATTACATTCATTTCTCCAAATTCCTGCATCAATTTGTGGGTTTTTCCAAGTACTCATGAAAATTTTAGTGCAAATTTCCCCTAGTATATACGCATTTTTGTGTGCTACTTTGTCTAATATGCATATTATTAAGGTTTTAAACACTGTATGTGCACACGCACACACACACACACAAAACACACTGCATGCACAGATATGTGTGTGTGTGAGTGAAATAATAAATGTTTTTGCATTTGCATTAAGAAAAATAAAATCTATTTTATATGTTACTTTCTAAAAAACACACACACAAAAAACAACTTTGTACGGTTCTCTCCTCTTCACTTCAAATGTAATGTAAAACGTTCTTATCCCTTGTGCCAAGGAAACTACAGCAAAAGAAAGGAAAATCGCTCATATGTGGTCACAGCCACCATGGAGCTTCTTTGAGAAAACACGTGTCTCACACTTCCTGTTTTAAGACTGCATAACTAGAACTGAATTTTCGTATATAATAAAAAATATAACACAACACACCCACCGGTCCCATAACATTAATATGAATTATGCTTATCACGCCATAGAGCTCCGATGCGAACTAAGGCAGGACACCATCTCTTTCCAGTGAAGCACATCCCTGTATCTTTTTGTAGCTTGGTTCTTTTGATGGAAGCAACTTTGGGAATGGGTAGGGTAGGTGTCTCCGGGCCTCAATCAACCAATTGTACTGGGTGTTACAGATAATGGGTCATTGCCTTCCTTGGGTGTCCCTGGGTGGCTCAGCAACCACTCTTGAAAGCCAGCCGTGATGCTTTGATTTTGCCGAGCTGTAAAATGCAGCTGCTTAGGCCTGATGGTTGACTGCAGGCATTTAATTCTTTGCTGTGGGTGGGAGTGAAGAGAAGGCCATCTGTTCCTGTTGAGGCGTGTGGCCGGATGCTTCTGGGAAGGGAAATCTCAGCAGTAACATCTAAGTTGTTAGTGGGTGATGAGATCCAAGGCTCAGCTTGTCCACCAATCCTTCTTATCTTGACCAGACAGATAGCCCCAAAAGAGGGCATGTAGCCCAGGGATGGTGAACCTCAGGCCCTGAGCCCCCTACCCCAGGCCAGTCTCTCAGGTCCTCAGGAATCTCCCAAGGCCACAACCCTGTGAGGCAGGTTAAGCTGAGAGACACTGATCACCCAGTGAGCTTTGTAAGGGTTTGTACCCTGGCCTCCCTGGTCCAGCCCCCTAACCTTCGAATGCCTTGGAAATCTGACACTGCTTCTTGCCTGCTTGAATATAGGATATTTTCTTCTGCTGCACAAAGGTAGAATTATTCGTCGTCCTTTGCCTCTGGACCTGTCATGTGGTCTCCCCAGAAGGTCAGTGTGGTGAGCCAGTGTGGTGTAGTGGTTAAGAGCGGTGGACTCGTAATCTGGTGAACCGGGTTCGCTTCCCCGCTCCTCCACATGCAGCTGCTGGGTGACCTTGGGCGAGTCACACTTCTCTGAAGTCTCTCAGCCTCACTCACCTCACAGAGTGTTTGCTGTGGGGGAGGAAGGGAAAGGAGAAAGGAGAAAGAAGGGAAAGGAGAATGTTAGCCGCTTTGAGACTCCTTCGGGTAGTGATAAGGCGGGATATCAAATCCAAACTCTTCTTCTTCTTCTTCTTCTTCAAGAAGGAAATGTGGTCCTCCGGCTGAGAGTGGTTACTCATCCCCGCTGTCATGGACTTGCTGGATGCAGAGGCACCAGCCAGGGACACCCCCCCCCCCGACCGGTAAGAAGGATCAGAGCCTGGGGGAGTAGTGGTGGGACGCCAGGGGCTGGTATCCATAGAGGCATATTGACTCCCAAGTTTGGAGCTTCCATTTGACAATGATGGCTAAAGAGCACTTGGCTGAAGAGCCCTCCTTGAAATTCCGTAACCCCCTTCCAACGCTGTATAAAGCGACAACCATCACCACATGGTTTGGTGAGAGCCAGTTTGGTGTAGTGGTTAAGAGCGGTAGTATTGTAATCTGGGGAACCGGGTTCACGTCTCCGCTCCTCCACATGCAGCTGCTGGGTGACCTTGGGCTAGTCACACTTCTCTGAAGTCTCTCAGCCCCACTCACCTCACAGAGTGTTTGTTGTGGGGGGGGGAAGGGAAAGGAGATTGTTAGCTGCTTTGAGACTCCTTCGGGAAGTGATAAAGCGGGATATCAAATCCAAACTCTTCTTCTTCTTCTTCACATCTTGTGGCAGTGAGTTCCACCGGATGGTTGTGTGCTGTGTGAAGAAGTACCTTTTTTCTGTGCTGTGGTAGTGGGTTTACTCTGGAGGGTTTGGATTCGAATCCCCGCGCACTTAGTAACCTAGGAGGCTGCTTTACTCTGCATCGGACCCTTGATCCATCTACCTTAGTGTCTCCCACACTGACTGGTAGGGTCTCAAGTTCAAATCTTGCCCCAGCCAAGATTTCTCTAGCTGCCTTTAGGAAAACCACTATCTCAGTTTGAACCTCTCGTCAGCAGTATGCAAATTAGGCTGCTCTACCTCACAAGGTTGTTGTTGTGTTACTGAAGTAATGCATATACGACGTGCTTTAAGCACTCTGCAGCGCTTTGGAAATGTCATGTTTTGTTACTTGCAACAACTGTACGGCCCTTAGTTCCTTTTTGGGGTGGGGGTGGGGACTCTGTCAGGGCTCATTCTGCCCCCTCACTTTTTAAATGAGAGTTCTCTGCCACATCTTGTCAGTCTCTCCATGCTTGTCCCACTTCAAATAAAACACTTTAGGAAGCTTGTTAGTAAAACTGGCTCATGCTTGATGTTCCTAAATTGACTTTTAATCTTCTCAAATCCAACAACTTGCAATTATAATGAGGCTCTGCTAAACGTTGTAGAAAATATTTCTGAATTCCTCATCTTGTTTTGTAAGCACCTGATCGCATTGCTGAAATTGATTTAATTTAAGTGACATGATTGACCTACTTTATACTCTAGTTTCCTTTCTCTCTTTCTCTGCTCTCTCCCCCCCCCCCCCCGGCCCCAATTTTGTTGTTAAGGAGAGGCTTTAAAAATGCTGGATATTACTTTGGATAACACGGGAGGGGGTGGGAGAGCTTTTTTCTTTTGCAAAAGCCAAAACCTTGTTTTAAAGTAGGATTATCAGATCAAAACTTCAGTGCTTTAATTCTGACATTATGTTCTATGGCAGTGTGAAAAACGAGAATGAGACTGCGGTTCTCTGCATGCTCACTGAGCAGCCTAGTACAGCTACGGACATTTTCTTCCAATTTAAACCTAAATGAGCTGCGTAGGAAAGACCTTTTAGAACGAGGTCTATCTCTTAAAACAGGGGTTGGCAAAGTTTACCTTGCCTGGGCTGGTTCACTGCAGCGGAGATCCCTCCGAGGGCCAGATCGTGTGTGCGATTTTCGGCATCTGCGCATGCGCAGACGCAATTTTCAGCGCTGCGGAAGCGAGTCGCCACGCTGCACCGGTTTAGCGCAGCGCACGGGGACTCACTGAGTGGGCGGCTCGGTTCGGGGCTGGTTAAACGACCCCCATGGGCTGCTCGTGGCCCATGGGACTTAGGTTGCAGACCCCTGCTTCAGGTTAAGAACAGTTTCAGGTTAAAGACAGACCTCCAGAACGAATTAAATACTTAACCCGAGGTACCACTGTACTTGGTTTCAGCAGTGGTAAGGATAGACCAGGCATAGGCAAACTCGGCTCTCCAGATGTTTTGGGACTATAATTCCCATCATCCCTGACCACTGGTCCTGTTAGGGATGATGGGAGTTGTAGTCCCAAAACATCTGGAGGGCCGAGTTTGCCTATGCCTGGGATAGACCAATGTTGCTGTCACCATATTGTAGACAGATATTGCAGAAGTTAAGAATATTAACCGCTGGCTTAAGGCCATTTTAAAAACTCATTGTAGAGGTGAACATTGAACTGGGAACTTTCTGGGGGAACAGCTTACCCCAGATTTCCGGCTGTGGCAGGGTGGTGGTGCACTAGAAGATGTTCAGGGTCCCTTCCAACTAGATAGTTCTTAGTCACTTTGCTTTAGTAGCCTTTCTAATGAATGCCTCAATACGAGGCACTTAGATTGCTGTCGTTTACCTTTCCCCCCTCCTAGAAAAGAAGAAGAGAGAGATTCTTCCCGATTAGGATGGTTTTGTGACGTCTCATGGCAGTTGCTAAGCTATATGGCTTGAATTTCCATGTGGCTTCCACAATACCACCACCCCTCTCCAAAAAACCAAAACAAAACCCCAAAGCCAATCCTTTGCGTTGCGGGATGTCTCTTTAGAATACAAGACATCTGGCGAGGCTAAGTGAGGTTATGGAACGTTAATGATCAACCGCTGATTTGTTGGCGTCCCCTTTAGTTTGAGGGGGTCGATTTGTGGTGCTGCTGTGAAATTCAAACCTCCTTCAATTGGATCTCTATGCCAATAGCTTTGTGCTCTTAAGAAACTGTAATTAGAGCAGCGCTACCACTAGGGTTCTGCAGTTATAGCTTTTATACGGCAATTTCTTCCTTGGCAATGAGTGGCGAAGCCCCCCCCCCTTCTTTCCAGAGCATTTATGAGTAGATACGATAGTTTAGGTTGTGTAATTGCCTGTGTATAGTCTTCGCCCACAGAGTTTCCTTATCTCTGGCATGTTTAATGATACTTGTGGGTGTAGAAGTGATGTACACTACCTTTTCTGCTTGGGGGGAGGGAATGCACTTGTCACCTTCATTGAATGACAGTTTTCTGCAGGGATCAGGAGCTGTTCTTTTGCTGAAGCCGTGTTGTTAATGCATATATTTTTAAAAGTCCTTTTTTTAGAGCAAGCATTTTCATGGTGCCGCTAAACGTTAAACCGCGAGAAGACATGTTCTCGTTAATGTTCTTATCTAAAGGGGGCACTTTTTTTCTATTTGACAGAGCAGAAACAAGAGCTGCAAAACTTGCTCATGAATTTATTAAACTGCGGGGGGAAAGCCACATACTTGTTGCGGATACATTTTGCTAAAGCATGGTAATCATTGCAATGCAATCAGCATAGGTCAAAGACACAAACATACGCTTCCTTTTGAAGCAGAGATTTTGTGCCTTTGGTATGCATAGCTAGTCTAGTACATGCACCTAGAATTCATTGGAAGCACATGCTAGAAATTAAATCTGGTTTTTTACGGATGTGAAGCATTCTTTGCCACCCAGCTAAGACACTTCTCTAGTGAGGAATTGCATCCCAGGAATATTTCTTTGGGGATGACTCTGCCAGTGGCTTTGATCATGATCAGCGGCCTGTAATTTTTGGCTAGACTTGCTGGCTAAATCAAAAGTTTTAGTTGCCCCCCCTCCCTTACTAGCAACCCTAGCAAACTGTCCCCTTGTATTTCCCTCAGGAAGGGAACCATGCTAGCATGAGCACCTTGAAGCATTGGCTTCAATTACCAACGCCCCCCCCCCCCCAATTTAGATGCGGCAAGTAGATTTATTGAAATCTGATTATCATAGTCTAAATTTGGGGTGTAATTTTATCCCTGGTGAAATTGACACACGATCTTCCTGTTTATAAAACAGGGGTATAAACAAGGAGCTGTGTTTTGGATTATGTACAGCACTCTAAGAGTTTTGTGATACAACGGTCTATAAACATTTCTAAATAAGTAATTTTTGCCTCCCCTGCATCGGCTCACTTCCCTGAGTCGTCTCCAAGGTAACTGGCCTGGAGTTGTGGATTTGTCTTTCAGTTGAATCCAGGCTCTGGCCTACCTGCTGAATGTGAAAACCCATCACAGATTAAATAAATCCATCGTTCTATCAGGATATCCAGTCATGCACCTAGTTTGCTCCAGCTTGTGGCAAACTTTAGCCTAGATAATTATATTGATAAAAGTGGGTGGGAGTGAGAGCTTAGGCTAGACTTCTGTGCCTCTTTCCAGCTGGATGATTCATTTCCAGCTGGATGTTTGAGCCATTAAATCAATGAACACAGGATGCTGCAATCAATGAGGAAGCTTCCACTCGGATTCAGAGGGAGCTAACATAAGCCCAATGGGATTTATA